GAAAAGTTAGGTTCTATTTGATATGATGTTTACTTTGCACAGTGTTACATTTTTATTATTGGTTGTAGTAACTTGGAGCGAGCTTCGAAGCCGCCGAAGTCGATTATTGTTTGTATCATGAGTCCAAAGATTTATATCTTTTATCTTTGTATACAATGTTTACTCGCAAATAAATTATGATTATTGTTATCAGTCATAGGTTTTATAAAAACGTATTTAATTATATTCTTAGACGACTGGTGTGATTGATACAATAGTTAGTGAACCGGACTACTAAGTCAAATCATGAGCATTGTATAAAAATATATTCATGTAGGTAGAAGAGAATATAACTATTGTTCATTGCTTATCTGTATGCTCTAGTTGAAATAGTATTTTTATTGTTTACAGAATATTTTGAACCTATCCGAGCAGGGATTTTAAACAACTACTTAATATGCCGAACAGGTTCAGGATATACGCACCAGAGCGAGCCTGCGAAGCGAGGAGAATATTACGTCGAGGTCCGCATCTCTAACTTCCGCGAACTGGATTCCGTCCGTCGACCGCTGGCAGTATTCTCTAATCAACTTTAAATCAGCTGTCGACGAGAACACCCCAACGTGGAAGGCTGTTACCCAGTTGGTATCATGCATCAAAGAAGATTATCGCAAGGTTCGCCCAGTTTTGTATCCAACTAAGCGTTAGTTTTATCAGTGTTACTTATCTATCAGATTTAGTTCACCGTTTTCTTTCAGAAATCTGTATATCAAAACTCAAATACAAAGTCTAAAGCCGTAATTTAATAAAACATAAAAATGATGACTACTATAAAATATTTGATTTTGAGTATTTCATTATATTAACGATATCTTATTTAATTACTGACTCTTTAGTGTAGTAATATAATGAGTATTTATTCATTTTTAGGAATATTTAGTACCTGCCTTAATCCTTTAAATAACGTGTTGTGCTTTCAGATAAAATCGAAAATCAAAATAAAAAATATAAATTAAAATTCTTAAACTATATTTTATTATAATAAAATTTCAACAACCTTCCCGCAAACCACATCTAACATCACATCTACTTCATCTTTTGTCCTAGATCCTACAGATCCTAATGAAATTACTTCAGTTATAGACTCCTTACGGTCTAATGCTGCTACTGGTTGGGATGGCATTTCGCCTTCCTTCCTAAAGACATACTCAACCACTCTGGCACCGATCTTATGCCATATATTTAATCTTTGTTTCGACACTGCTGTCTTTCCCACGTCACTTAAAAAGGCAATTATTCATCCAGTCTTCAAGGGAGGTGACGGGAACGTACCAAATAATTACCGTCCCATAGCGGTTCTCAGTACTCTATCAAAGGTTCTCGAAAGATTGATTAATAAAAGACTAGTTTCCTACCTCGAACATTATAATTTAACTTCTTCACAGCAGTTCGGCTTTCGCAAAAATAAATCGGCTAATGATGCAGTTCAAAGTTTAACCGATCATGTCGTTCAGAACTTGAATCAAAGCAAAAAGGTCCTAACTATATTTTTGGATCTCGCGAAAGCGTTTGACACCGTTCCTGTCTCGACTCTCTTACTCAAATTAGAAAAGGTAGGTGTCAGGGGATTGCAACTAGATCTCTTTCAAAGTTACCTCACAAATCGCTCCCAGACAGTCAGGATTGATGATCACTATAGTGATGACCTCCCAGTCTATTACGGCGTACCACAAGGAAGTATATTAGGTCCCACACTATTCTTAGTGTTTGTTAACGATCTATGCAACCTTAATATTCCAAATGCTAAGATTATATCATTTGCAGATGATACTGCAATAACATTCGTCGCCGAAACATGGTCTGCACTTGAGCACAAGGCTCAAATTGGCTTCGACCTTATAACAAATTGGCTTTATTCCCACACACTAACCCTTAATGTCTCCAAAACTAAACTTATTACCTATTCTATTAGTTCAGTCTCCCAACCAAATTTACCTATATCCCTTAAAGTTCACTCTTGCCACAGACATACTCAGGTCTCTTGTCAATGTCCAACCATATCCTCTGTTGACAATATTAAATACCTACGAGAGGTATAATCTTAGATAAAAACCTAAATTTTAAAAGCCACATTAATCTTCTCACTGGCAGAGTCCGTAAATTAATTTACATATTTAAAACCCTAAGAAGTATTGCTAACCCTACTGTTTTACGTAAAGTCTATTTTGCCCTATGCTTATCCATTATTACATACTGTATTTCCTGCTGGGGTGGTGCTGCTAAAACTAACCTAATGAAGCTGGAGGTGGCACACAGAGCCATTTTGAAAGTGGCTACTTTCCGGCCTATCATTTTTCCAACTAATCAGTTATACAATGACTGGAACGTCCTTAATGTTCGGCAACATTTTATTCTGCAAACAGTTCTAATGCAGCACCGCAAAACCCCTTAGGGAAACAAGTAAACGTCGAAAAGACAAAATTTGTTCTCTTCCACAAGTTCGCTTATCATTCACTAAAAGATTCTTTTATTTCCTGGGTCCATCTCTTTACAATAAAATAAGCGAAAAATGTCCTATATATGGGTTATCATTATATAACTGCAAGAAAGCTGTCCGCTCATACCTTCAAAACACATCTTATGACGAAACAGAAAAATACCTGAACTGACTGATAATAAAATAACTAACCTGATTTATCTACTCTCACACAAACACACACATGCACACGCAAACACACACGCACACCCACGCATACGCACGCACACACACTCAAACACACGCACACACATACACACGCATTCATTTCTCAACTTTATAATTATAATTTGAATAACTAGAAATTGATATAATTGTAGCACTTTTAAATGTATGCATGTAAATATTATATACATAATGTTATGGGGATTGAGACTGTTACTCCTTAATACAGGTTATTCTGTAACCTAGCTAGGAGTGCAGAGCTACATCCACTAGATTTAAGGACATATTTTATAGATAGTACAAACAATGTAATGTCACACCAATGTACTACAATCACTGTATATAAATTAAAATTAAATTAAATAAAGTTATTATATATTATTATAATAAACTGATCTATATTTATATCATAATAATAAAAAAAATCTGCAAGCGCTTATTTAATTACTGAAAGTATATAAACCTGTTATTTTGACGTTACGAACAGACACTTCAATTTTATTTATTTGAATAGTTCTATAATCGTAAAGTATGAAAGTGTGTAAAAAATTCGAAAGTGATTACTATCATATTTTGATCTTAAGGCGTCAGAAAACTTGGCTGCACTTTTAATAATTTTCTTTTATAATTCAATACAAGATCGTAGATATCAGTATGATTTATACTGATGATCTAATTAATTGGGAGTTATTAATAATTACTTTAAATAAAAGACAGGATGTTTTAGTGTATGTATTTGGTTACAGTCGACAGCAAAGTATAGACAGCAGCCGAATTTAATCATAATGATTTGTTAGATTCAAATTATTTTTTTTATTAATTTCTGTATCAGTAAATTTAATTTCATCTATGTGGTTACCTTGCACACCTTTTTTGGAACCTTACAAAATGTAAGGTTGGATCCAATTCCTCATTAATGAGATGTGAAAAATGATAAATTCTTTTGTTAGAATTCTCTGAACATAACAAATAATTTTTTATCGTGTTTAGACATGATTTCTAGTTAAACTTTACACCTCAGAAGTGGTCATTATTGATTTTTGCAAAGACGGAGATAGAGGTTGGTCCTAATCACGAGCTTCTGAATTTAAAAAAATCAGTAATCTGCCTCACTATAGTCCCAAAAAGAACAAATACTATAACATAAAATTTCATAAAGTTTGCGATTGCTATATATTACTAAAACTAATGACATTGAATTAAAGTTCAAAGCGTAATTTTAATAAATAACGTTAAATATAATTAAAGTCAATTTAAAATTAAAAAACTTGATATCGAAACTTAAAAAGTAAAGTAAAGTGAAGATAACGCATAATCAGTTGAAACAGAACTTAGAACTGTTATTTATAATACGATCGTTGCTGAAAGATAAAAAAATATGAGGGAGTACGTTACAAGGCAGTCGCGTTGATGCAAGGAATATATCGTACGTGTGTCTAAATACCTCGTGAATTAAACAGAGCACAGCCGTACAAAGTTTGGTGCAAGCGAGATAAGGGAGAGGGGGGACATTACAAAACTTGGTTTTAACCGGTTAATTCTTACTACCCAAACCTAAATTTGTGGAAAACCGGTATTCCGCAAAAACCGGTTTAAGGTTCAATGACCGAAACCGGTTAAGCATTTGAACCGGTTTCCAAGCCCTGGCTATAGTCACCCTAGACTACACCAAAATATTCCTTAATTAAACCTCCTTACCCGTTCATTATCTCTTGAAGAGAAATAACAAAATTGCTAGATTGAAAAGCACAGAGGGCATCGATGGAGTGAGGGCGTTGTTGATTATAGAGAGTTTCACAGAATTATCAAGACATATTTGAAAGATAAAAAGATTTTTAAAAAAATAAAAAAAAATAAAATGGGTACAAAATCTTTGTGATGAAAATAAAACTATCGTAGATATAAATTGCTTAGGAGCTCCCAATTTAAATACTCTTTGCGAACTTTATTTTACAGATTATTATTGTAAAGATACTTTACTGTATAACTGTTTCACTCATAAGAAAATCTGTGCGTTAAAAAAATGTTCTATTAATATTAAGGAATGGTGTTTAGAAAACAAAGTGATTGTTTGATTTTCAATAAAATATATGTTAACCGAAACTTCATCTTTTAATTTAAACTATCTTTGTGTTCGAGGAGAAGAAAAAAAAATAGTTTCAGACCCGCAACGATTAGTATTATTAAAGTAACTGATTCTTTTTTTAAATTTTAGCGATGAAGTGAAACCTCTACTGGAGAGAAGACGAGAGAGCAAGTGACGCAGAAGCCCCAATTCAATCCTACTCATGTATACGCAAATTCAAAGCTCATTTACTACAAAAAGATCACCTGTTCCAAAATAAGCATCAGCAGAGATTCGGCAGCGTCACGCACCCTCATCGACACTGGCTTCAATTCCTTTTCATCTTTCATCTTTGGCGGTTCACCTGGTTTTCCTAAATTCGTAAATAATTAAATGCTAAGATTATATTTGTCAGTATGGTTTTTGATATACTAAGTAACTTAATTTTAAATATTCATAGTGTTAAATGTAAAATAAGTTAAGATTTCTAAAAATAAAAAATAAGAGACATATATAGTCATATATGTCTCTTATTTTTATTATAGAATAAAGGTAACAAACGAGCACATAATACATCTCATGGTAAGTGCATGCTGTGGCCTACAGACATTTACATTTATCCTAAGTTAAGAATCAAAATGCAGAAGCGTTTTCATCAATGAGAACTAAGATGGAATGTCTCGTTTCCAGTAGAAAGGGTCCTTACAAAACCGTACGAAATACAACAGCATAAGCTGCTATTTTACACTGGCATTCTGTGAGAGCGTGGTTCTACCCCGGTCAAGAATATAGCCGCATCATGGCTATACTACGTAAAATAAAGGTTGTAGATATTCTAACACCGCCACTACACCGTTTAAAACTAATCATTATCAAAGTCAAATTTGAAATTTATACAACTGACAATATTTCTTTTCTATAACATAGCTGCAACGTGGCTCTAGTAGGTGAAAAATTATGCCTTATCTTTATTTATTTGAAATATATAAACAACAGCAAGCTTAACAGTTCAATATTGGGTATAGATTTGAAATTTATTTCAGCTAATAATAAACACTATCTATTTATGAGGAGGGTTGGTAGGAGTTTTTTCTGCCTAGGAGTCAATAGGGTGCATTATCCGTGTACAATTATAATTATTGTTGTACGCTTGTCGGCACAGGCGGCAGAGTGTCCGACGTACGAGCGTGACCGACCTTGGCTCTTGGAGCCGGAGATGCCGAGCTCGACGACCTCCATGAGCGCGGTGAGGCAGTGCTGGTCGGCGAGCAGCGCGGGGCACAGCCAGGCGGCCAGGCACTGGTACGCGGCCACCACGCACGAGTGCAGGCGCACAGGCGGCAGAGTGTCCGACGTACGAGCGTGACCGACCTTGGCTCTTGGAGCCGGAGATGCCGAGCTCGACGACCTCCATGAGCGCGGTGAGGCAGTGCTGGTCGGCGAGCAGCGCGGGGCACAGCCAGGCGGCCAGGCACTGGTACGCGGCCACCACGCACGAGTGCAGGCGCACAGGCGGCAGAGTGTCCGACGTACGAGCGTGACCGACCTTGGCTCTTGGAGCCGGAGATGCCGAGCTCGACGACCTCCATGAGCGCGGTGAGGCAGTGCTGGTCGGCGAGCAGCGCGGGGCACAGCCAGGCGGCCAGGCACTGGTACGCGGCCACCACGCACGAGTGCAGGCGCACAGGCGGCAGAGTGTCCGACGTACGAGCGTGACCGACCTTGGCTCTTGGAGCCGGAGATGCCGAGCTCGACGACCTCCATGAGCGCGGTGAGGCAGTGCTGGTCGGCGAGCAGCGCGGGGCACAGCCAGGCGGCCAGGCACTGGTACGCGGCCACCACGCACGAGTGCAGGCGCACAGGCGGCAGAGTGTCCGACGTACGAGCGTGACCGACCTTGGCTCTTGGAGCCGGAGATGCCGAGCTCGACGACCTCCATGAGCGCGGTGAGGCAGTGCTGGTCGGCGAGCAGCGCGGGGCACAGCCAGGCGGCCAGGCACTGGTACGCGGCCACCACGCACGAGTGCAGGCGCACAGGCGGCAGAGTGTCCGACGTACGAGCGTGACCGACCTTGGCTCTTGGAGCCGGAGATGCCGAGCTCGACGACCTCCATGAGCGCGGTGAGGCAGTGCTGGTCGGCGAGCAGCGCGGGGCACAGCCAGGCGGCCAGGCACTGGTACGCGGCCACCACGCACGAGTGCAGGCGCACAGGCGGCAGAGTGTCCGACGTACGAGCGTGACCGACCTTGGCTCTTGGAGCCGGAGATGCCGAGCTCGACGACCTCCATGAGCGCGGTGAGGCAGTGCTGGTCGGCGAGCAGCGCGGGGCACAGCCAGGCGGCCAGGCACTGGTACGCGGCCACCACGCACGAGTGCAGGCGCACAGGCGGCAGAGTGTCCGACGTACGAGCGTGACCGACCTTGGCTCTTGGAGCCGGAGATGCCGAGCTCGACGACCTCCATGAGCGCGGTGAGGCAGTGCTGGTCGGCGAGCAGCGCGGGGCACAGCCAGGCGGCCAGGCACTGGTACGCGGCCACCACGCACGAGTGCAGGTCGCGCGAGTGCGCCTGCGGCGGCCGCCCGCACTGCACCGCGATGTAGTCGCAGATCCAGCGCACCGCGCGCTTGCGCTCCACGGCCTCTGCACCACACACGTACCCGCCATTAGTACACGACACTTTCCACAATTCTTCCACTTATTCATTACAGTCATAATGACCATAGCCCTCCCCCAAGGAATGCCACAAAGCACGGTCCTGAGCCACCTGCATCCATCAACTTCCTGCATGTCTTACCAAGTCATCACTCCCTCTAGTGGCGTAAATTTATGTATGTAAACTACACCCACGATAGAGGAAAAAATTCGAGAGTGTAGATAACGTTTTTTTTTAAATAGAATAAAAACTATACAATGCTATCCAAATAAACGACATTAGCTTAATAGGGGTATGCATCACGAACTCAAAAGGCCGTGAGTTGGAATCCACCGTTCGAATTTTTAAAGAAATAAAAAAATAAGAATAGACCTTGCGCCATATTGAGACGTCGTAAACCGCGTATCGATTATGCGCTCCAAGAGATCAAACATTGACGCGCGTTCCAGCCGCGCGAAATGGATACCACCTTGAAACTAAATTGTTCGTTGGAACGCTCAAACGTAGAGAAGGCCGTTCCATCTGGTATCGGGTTTTTACCGCGTAGTTAGGTTTTGGCGTGCGCGCCAGTTGGGACGGTTGTTTTCATCTTTCGTGTGTTCGTTGCGTTCCGAGCTATGGATAACCAGGGTTGCCGTAAATTAATAAAATTATATGTCTCAAAATAACTGCCGTGGAATGGCAAAAGTAGTTTTTATCATAAAAAAAGCGCTCACAGAAGATGCACGGAACTATGGAAGCGGCAGCTGTTCATACACGCCCGAACAACATCCATGTTGAACAGTTAAACACTGGAAGGGCTGCCGCGCTTAATGGATATACTTGAAACATTTGCAACGCGTTCCGCGGAACGCAATGGTCGGCGCGGTCATTCAAAGCGCGCGCGCCTGGAGCGCGTAATGGATACGCGGCTTTAGCTGTCAATGCAAACCGGCTAGATAGGGTGAGGAAGAAAGATATTTTTTAAATATTATTTATTTAAACAAAGGGACATTAACGAACACATCTACACCATTGAGTAGTCATCGTCGTCATCATCACTGCTGCTTTCGCAGATGAAAATAGAACATAGAATAATTTAGGTATTTCAATATTCCACCAACTATTATTTTAAAGAAAAACAGACATTTTTTAACTGTGTTTATAATAAAATTAAAGTAATACTAAGACTAAGTTAAATTATTTAGTCAAGAAAAAACGTTATTAAGAAGCAAATGAATTTTCTTTGCTAGCCATACTTTTCAAGTGAAACTTGACAGACTGAGGTCATTGACGTTCTCCTATAAAAATCAGCGTTCTGTCACGTGACTTCACTTTGAGATAATATATCATCCTCATTCATTTGTTTAATTTTCTATTAATAAAATAAAATAAACAAATGTTGCCCTTTAGATGCTTTGTCTTATAACCTAAACTAAATCCAAATATCGAGTGGACTACATTACAAGCGCATATAATGTTACTTTTTGCTTCTTTATATAAACATACCTAATAATTATTTACTTAGGTTTTACAGAATCCTTATAAAAGGACACATTTGTAAAACCGATAACTCAAAAAACACCGGCCTGTAATACAACTACGCAGTAGAACAAGGAACGCAGACCCTTTTTCTGCATCATATTGTAACATAAGCATATCAACTATATCAACTGATATCAATGTTCAATTGTTCATTCAATATTAAGATTATTTTATTATTATAGTATTTTAAAACGCCTGCATATAATTGAGTCAGCATTTAAAAAATCCTTCTTTCTTTCTAGTGAAGGCGGATATGAAATATATCGCCTTTTTTCATAAAGTACAGAACTCTAATTAAATAAAAACACATTTAATATAACCTTACCTATGACGAACTCTGTACAGCATGCAAAATAAACACAATACTTTAGTACTTTATTCGATCCACCACATGTAAAATAAAGTAAAAGCTGTTCACGTACCTGGTTTCACTGAGTGTAATTTCGCGAAGCCAGATAAGAGTTCCAAAGCTGCTAGAGACACCTGAAGGTCGCCCTTCCAGGACGATATCAAGCGGTGGCACACCAGATACGTAGCTCTCACGACTAATGCAGCTCCTGAGTTTTTAATCATTTTGTGATACGCAAATGTTAGAGGATACAAACGAAAGAAATAGCTTATCTTGAACTCCTAGAATAAACAATGTAGCCAAGGAATCTTGTGCCATTACAAACTTGGATTATATACCCTTTTTTATAAAATTAGAGCGATAGTGAGTCCTCTCAAAAAATAGTAGTTCACTACGGAATACATTTAATCACATGTTAGAGGGATATAGAAAAACCAAATTCAAGCTGAAATCAATTCCCTCATTTAATGTATTTAATTATATTTACATTATATTAAATCCAACTACATATACAGGGTTATTTTGCAATATACGGCCAAATTTGCATGATGAAGAAAAATTGAATTAAAAAAAATCTCAAACATTCTGTCTTTTTTATCTTTGAAACTCAGAATGCGTAGTAATGCATTAATTTAGTTATAATTAGTAAATGTTGCTACTAACATATTTCAGTTTATAAATTATTTACTAACCCATATGGATCATGGTCCGAAATAAATGATGATTATTAATATTAATACGTTAACTGATTGTTATTCACTATTTATCTAATGCGTACTGTTTTACGCACGCATTCATACGTAAGGGTTCGCTCGCTAAAGTACCTTGTCGCGTCTTCCCGCGCCCTTCCCTTTTGTTTACCGTTACACCGCTAAGTAGTGTCCACTCGCCCGGCCGACAGCTGACAAAGTTGACCGTGACCTCATTACATGCGCTCCGTTACCAATAACGTAACGAAAATATTTAAACCGCAGATACCATGAAATGGTGAGATATTAAATTTTAAGCAATGAAAGTTTACGTGGTGCGCAAAGATTATACGAAAGTGAGGCTTTACCGCGGAAAGAAATTAACGTATGTATACCTATCAATCAAACAACAATTGACAGTTAATCAAACTATTTAAGTGCAGTGAGCGATTACTTAATTAGTGAATATGAAGATAGGTGGATTACGTACGGAGGCCTTATACTATGGTCTGCAAACTCGCCGGAACTTTCATCGTTAGTCTTTTATCTGTGAGTTGAAAGAAAAAGTCGTGTTTACGTCAAAGAGTCCTAGTTATGAAGACTTCCACAGTAAAATTATTGCTGCGTTCACTGATGTTAAAAGTGCTCAAGCACAGGTAAAAAAATATATTTTAAGCTATGCATAAATAATGCGGCCCGGCCTGTTCGACCGTTCAGCAGTCTTCGGAAACCATCGGCTGCGTGGGAGCAACCGACTCGGTTTACCTCGCCTCGCCAGTCGATCCGACCGTTCGACGGCGTGAGGCCGCTCGTTCGTGCTCCGAACCGCTACTTTCAATTTACGTTGTGAATAAAAGGTTGTTTAATATGTTGTGTGTTCGTTATTCACATCCCCACAAGAGAAACGGATTCCATTTTGAGGTACCTACCAATATTAGATATTGGCACTACTTGCCTAATTTAGTTGTAAATGGTTTATCCCATTTTTTTTAAATACGCCATAATAATAACATTCGTCGGTTACGTCGTTGATAAGCAAAAATATTTTTTTTATTTTATTTATTATGCCGATCCTAAGCTCGTTAAAAGTGTGAAGGGAAAGTTGGAGTCATAATTCGGGTCATGTAGTTACTACCTTGAGCATTAGTAGTAAGCATATCACTCAGAAAGTAAACAAGAGACAAAACTTGAGAAACGAAAATGCGAATTTAATCACACACACTGAAGCACGCGTAAGCGTAGTTGTTGATATTAAATCTTTTTTTTGGGATAATTTTAAATAAAAGTAGAAGCCTTATTTACTCGTATTTTCAAAAAATGTAATATTGGTATATAATAATTTATTTATTTGAAAATAAATATAAAACTTTGCTACTGTTTGAAAAATAACCCTGTATATATTATTATATTTCTATATAGAATGTTTCATTAGCCAAGCTACAACTTACAACACGAATTTTTTATTAAGTTTAATTTAAAACAGCTATTTCTTTTTAACATATGCACATTAACTTATATACGAAAAGAGAACAAGTACGGAAGAAAAGTCTATAACATTAATAATAATAATCTGTTAAAATACAACTTTAGGATAATTTGAACTAAAAATAGTCATTATTATAACAGCATTAATTAAATTACTTCCAACATGCTACGTACATTATTTATCTTAAGTTATGAAAAATAGGTTGCTTTTTTTCTTTATTATAAAATAATAACCCTCTCAAGTATGAGAGACTCGTGCCCAGTAGTAAAAGTATATAGATTGTTAGAGATATTATCTGCAAAAGACTAATTATCATTAAGGTAATGAAGTATGTGCTAGATATATTATTTCAAAAAAATATGGTCCATAATTAACTAAGAACAAAATATTGACAATTTAAATATCTATATACGATGAGAAAACAAACAAGCAAGCAATAATTGGAGAAAATTATAAAGTAAAAAGCGTCGACATTGTTACTGCAATTTATTTTTCTAAATAATAAATTATATTCAACCACAATGATAATATAATAGTTTTGTAAAACATTGTGACACTTGTTAAAAACAAAAGTCCATGAGACATTAATTCCAATAACAACGTTCATGTAAATGGTGATATTTAGTTATAGTAAAATGAACTTAATATATTAGAAAATAACGTTTACAGTTTAAAAGTTATTTTTAATAGAAATTTTGAGTAACTCCAAAAAACAAACTCACATCCTGACTTTTTATGAGATTTTTATTACTTAGAGTTAACAACCTAACAAGTCAACTGTTTTCAGTTTCATATATTTTTTAATTGTTTATAATAACCTATGTATAAACAATTTATTATAAAAGTATCGGCTCTCAGTCCTCGAATCCTCGACGTTTATGCAAATACTCTTTTAGAATAATTGTATAAAGATTATGAATTATGAATTATGAATTATGTAAAAATAAAATTTTAGTAAGTAACATAGTATTACAATTAAAAAGTAAATTAAAAGTAGGCATTATCCAAATATCACCATTATGTTTAGCAAAATAAAGTATGATTTACCGAAAGCAGGTGACGTGGGGTCGAGCTCCCTAACGTCCGCGGCGAAGTCGTCCTGCGCGCGCTCGCCCGCCGCGCCCTCGTCCGACCGCGCTACACACGCACGCGCAATAACGATCAACACACACTCGACACTTTTAACCAACTTCAAAAAGGTAGAGTTATTTTTTAATTCTTTATTAATGACCTTAATCACAAAGTGTTTATGACGCTCCATTATTTAATATCAAAAACAGATACATTAAGTACACTTAAATTTACTTAATTACAACCATATAAAGTTTAAAATCTGAATGTATTTAGTTACAACAAGAGGAGGATATCGACCTTTTTTTTAATGCACACAAGATGTCTCAAGGTCGATGTCTTTTTCATGTAAATATCTATTGTACTTTATATAATACATATTACCATAATAAAAACACAATACGCAGTTGAAGTGATTCCTGCACTGCAAATCCGATATTAAAATCAGCTAAAACCTTTAGAGTTCAGTCGTAATATCCAAATTTTGAAGAACGATTATATCATGGATCTCCGAGGCTAAAAGTATCGAGTGTGTTTTAGCTTTAAGACATGCTACGTACGGTTCGCGGTACGCACTTTGCACATTGCGCACGCTACACGTACGTAGTGTGCGTGTATAGTGAGTGCGTGCTGTCATGTGCGGGACATGACATTTTGTTATTGGGCATCTTGATGAAGGGTAGTGATCAGACTTCCGATCTCCTACGTCAAAATTCCTGGATTGTTACTCAGTCAAAGTCAACATATGGGAAATACACAAATTGTTGTTTATCGAGTCTAGTTATTTTGTGATTGGCCCTCTTATTTCGTAATAACTTAGACGTAAGGCAGGGGAAGTTCGAACGTGAATGCCACTGTGATAGCACCGTTACTTATCTCCTACGCAGTTGATAGCTTCTAAAATCAAAATGGTCGAAATAGTCCACATTTTTGATAACTCATATAATATTTTAAGTCTTTTTGAACGTTATATGGCCCTTTAATCTTTATTCGGTGATTTCGGCGCCTTGAGTGTTTGAAACCTTCATCGCTTCAGAGCTTTGTCTTAGGTTTTTGTCCCTCGAGTAGAGCAATATTTCTAAATTTCTAATATAAAACTTCGAAAATCGTTGAGTAACACAAACCTTAAATAATTTTGCATCCCTGTGTTTTAGGATTATACCTTTTATGCATGTACAGGGGTTGCTTTATTGAATATTATATTTTTAATACAATGGGTATTTTATACTGTGTAATAGGCAATGCAAAATAAAACACAGCACATCTGGGTATCGGATGGTGTTCGTGTCTGAAGCAGTGAATGATATGTCGTCAATAAGTGTGATACTGCATAAGCATGTGTGAATCATTTGAACTTTAAAATATGTTTAAAAACTGTGTGTGAACAGTAGCATGACTGCTTGAGGTTTGGTTTGGTTAATAAAATATTAAGAGCTTTTAACAAAAATTCTCAACGATTAAAAAATAAATGGAAACTGTTTTTTATTTCTTATTTAATATTTGTCAAGGAGAAATTCATTTTGTAAAGATGTTAAAGAGTTTCATTAAAATATTAAAACCCCAAGCAGGCATGTTACCTTATATGTAAAACATAGATACAGATATTGGACTAAGAGTCCCATATTATGCATCTGTACATCAAATATGAAGGATAGCGACAAAGTCCTGGACCACCTGCATCCTTCGATTACCTGTTACTCCATCCAGCGCGTCAGGTGAGCAAGATCAATACTAATAAGCGGAGAGCACTCAACATTGCGCTTGCCAGTACGAGGCTGCCACTCGAGAACCTTTCTTCCCCAACGGTTCTTTTTATCCTTTACTTTATATAGCTTATCTTTAATGCAGTTTCCCATAGGCTGTCGGTTCAAAGTGCAAATTATAAAATTTGAGTTTAAAATAGAGATGTTACGGAGGTTCGATTCTGATTCCGAAAGTTCGGAACTTCCGATTGATTTTGCACTTTCGATTCCGATTTCGGTTCCGTTAAATTTTAATCGGAAGTTATATATCGGAGGTCGATGCACAGTGGTGGCTGTGCGCGGGCGCGACGTACGCGTTGTGCAGCACGCACAGGTAGAGCGCGCTCAGTGCTCGTGCTCGTGCTCGTGCTCGTGCTCACCTCTGTAGTCGGTGGAGTGCGAGGTGGCGGAGGGCGGGCTGTGCGCGGGCGCGACGTACGCGTTGTGCAGCACGCACAGGTAGAGCGCGCTCAGTGCTCGTGCTCGTGCTCGTGCTCGTGCTCACCTCTGTAGTCGGTGGAGTGCGAGGTGGCGGAGGGCGGGCTGTGCGCGGGCGCGACGTACGCGTTGTGCAGCACGCACAGGTAGAGCGCGCTCAGTGCTCGTGCTCGTGCTCGTGCTCACCTCTGTAGTCGGTGGAGTGCGAGGTGGCGGAGGGCGGGCTGTGCGCGGGCGCGACGTACGCGTTGTGCAGCACGCACAGGTAGAGCGCGCTCAGTGCTCGTGCTCGTGCTCGTGCTCGTGCTCACCTCTGTAGTCGGTGGAGTGCGAGGTGGCGGAGGGCGGGCTGTGCGCGGGCGCGACGTACGCGTTGTGCAGCACGCACAGGTAGAGCGCGCTCAGTGCTCGTGCTCGTGCTCGTGCTCACCTCTGTAGTCGGTGGAGTGCGAGGTGGCGGAGGGCGGGCTGTGCGCGGGCGCGACGTACGCGTTGTGCAGCACGCACAGGTAGAGCGCGCTCAGTGCTCGTGCTCGTGCTCGTGCTCGTGCTCACCTCTGTAGTCGGTGGAGTGCGAGGTGGCGGAGGGCGGGCTGTGCGCGGGCGCGACGTACGCGTTGTGCAGCACGCACAGGTAGAGCGCGCTCAGTGCTCGTGCTCGTGCTCGTGCTCGTGCTCACCTCTGTAGTCGGTGGAGTGCGAGGTGGCGGAGGGCGGGCTGTGCGCGGGCGCGACGTACGCGTTGTGCAGCACGCACAGGTAGAGCGCGCTCAGTGCTCGTGCTCGTGCTCGTGCTCGTGCTCACCTCTGTAGTCGGTGGAGTGCGAGGTGGCGGAGGGCGGGCTGTGCGCGGGCGCGACGTACGCGTTGTGCAGCACGCACAGGTAGAGCGCGCTCAGTGCTCGTGCTCGTGCTCGTGCTCGTGCTCACCTCTGTAGTCGGTGGAGTGCGAGGTGGCGGAGGGCGGGCTGTGCGCGGGTGCGACGTACGCGTTGTGCAGCACGCACAGGTAGAGCGCGCTCAGTGCTCGTGCTCGTGCTCGTGCTCACCTCTGTAGTCGGTGGAGTGCGAGGTGGCGGAGGGCGGGCTGTGCGCGGGCGCGACGTACGCGTTGTGCAGCACGCACAGGTAGAGCGCGCTCAGTGCTCGTGCTCGTGCTCGTGCTCGTGCTCGTGCTCACCTCTGTAGTCGGTGGAGTGCGAGGTGGCGGAGGGCGGGCTGTGCGCGGGCGCGACGTACGCGTTGTGCAGCACGCACAGGTAGAGCGCGCTCAGTGCTCGTGCTCGTGCTCGTGCTCGTGCTCACCTCTGTAGTCGGTGGAGTGCGAGGTGGCGGAGGGCGGGCTGTGCGCGGGCGCGACGTACGCGTTGTGCAGCACGCACAGGTAGAGCGCGCTCAGTGCTCGTGCTCGTGCTCGTGCTCGTGCTCGTGCTCACCTCTGTAGTCGGTGGAGTGCGAGGTGGCGGAGGGCGGGCTGTGCGCGGGCGCGACGTACGCGTTGTGCAGCACGCACAGGTAGAGCGCGCTCAGTGCTCGTGCTCGTGCTCGTGCTCGTGCTCACCTCTGTAGTCGGTGGAGTGCGAGGTGGCGGAGGGCGGGCTGTGCGCGGGCGCGACGTACGCGTTGTGCAGCACGCACAGGTAGAGCGCGCTCAGTGCTCGTGCTCGTGCTCGTGCTCGTGCTCACCTCTGTAGTCGGTGGAGTGCGAGGTGGCGGAGGGCGGGCTGTGCGCGGGCGCGACGTACGCGTTGTGCAGCACGCACAGGTAGAGCGCGCTCAGTGCTCGTGCTCGTGCTCGTGCTCGTGCTCACCTCTGTAGTCGGTGGAGTGCGAGGTGGCGGAGGGCGGGCTGTGCGCGGGCGCGACGTACGCGTTGTGCAGCACGCACAGGTAGAGCGCGCTCAGTGCTCGTGCTCGTGCTCGTGCTCACCTCTGTAGTCGGTGGAGTGCGAGGTGGCGGAGGGCGGGCTGTGCGCGGGCGCGACGTACGCGTTGTGCAGCACGCACAGGTAGAGCGCGCTCAGTGCTCGTGCTCGTGCTCGTGCTCACCTCTGTAGTCGGTGGAGTGCGAGGTGGCGGAGGGCGGGCTGTGCGCGGGCGCGACGTACGCGTTGTGCAGCACGCACAGGTAGAGCGCGCTCAGTGCTCGTGCTCGTGCTCGTGCTCGTGCTCGTGCTCACCTCTGTAGTCGGTGGAGTGCGAGGTGGCGGAGGGCGGGCTGTGCGCGGGCGCGACGTACGCGTTGTGCAGCACGCACAGGTAGAGCGCGCTCAGTGCTCGTGCTCGTGCTCGTGCTCGTGCTCACCTCTGTAGTCGGTGGAGTGCGAGGTGGCGGAGGGCGGGCTGTGCGCGGGCGCGACGTACGCGTTGTGCAGCACGCACAGGTAGAGCGCGCTCAGTGCTCGTGCTCGTGCTCGTGCTCGTGCTCACCTCTGTAGTCGGTGGAGTGCGAGGTGGCGGAGGGCGGGCTGTGCGCGGGCGCGACGTACGCGTTGTGCAGCACGCACAGGTAGAGCGCGCTCAGTGCTCGTGCTCGTGCTCGTGCTCGTGCTCACCTCTGTAGTCGGTGGAGTGCGAGGTGGCGGAGGGCGGGCTGTGCGCGGGCGCGACGTACGCGTTGTGCAGCACGCACAGGTAGAGCGCGCTCAGTGCTCGTGCTCGTGCTCGTGCTCGTGCTCACCTCTGTAGTCGGTGGAGTGCGAGGTGGCGGAGGGCGGGCTGTGCGCGGGCGCGACGTACGCGTTGTGCAGCACGCACAGGTAGAGCGCGCTCAGTGCTCGTGCTCGTGCTCGTGCTCGTGCTCACCTCTGTAGTCGGTGGAGTGCGAGGTGGCGGAGGGCGGGCTGTGCGCGGGCGCGACGTACGCGTTGTGCAGCACGCACAGGTAGAGCGCGCTCAGTGCTCGTGCTCGTGCTCGTGCTCGTGCTCACCTCTGTAGTCGGTGGAGTGCGAGGTGGCGGAGGGCGGGCTGTGCGCGGGCGCGACGTACGCGTTGTGCAGCACGCACAGGTAGAGCGCGCTCAGTGCTCGTGCTCGTGCTCGTGTTCGTGCTCACCTCTGTAGTCGGTGGAGTGCGAGGTGGCGGAGGGCGGGCTGTGCGCGGGCGCGACGTACGCGTTGTGCAGCACGCACAGGTAGAGCGCGCTCAGTGCTCGTGCTCGTGCTCGTGCTCGTGCTCACCTCTGTAGTCGGTGGAGTGCGAGGTGGCGGAGGGCGGGCTGTGCGCGGGCGCGACGTACGCGTTGTGCAGCACGCACAGGTAGAGCGCGCTCAGTGCTCGTGCTCGTGCTCGTGCTCGTGCTCACCTCTGTAGTCGGTGGAGTGCGAGGTGGCGGAGGGCGGGCTGTGCGCGGGCGCGACGTACGCGTTGTGCAGCACGCACAGGTAGAGCGCGCTCAGTGCTCGTGCTCGTGCTCGTGCTCGTGCTCACCTCTGTAGTCGGTGGAGTGCGAGGTGGCGGAGGGCGGGCTGTGCGCGGGCGCGACGTACGCGTTGTGCAGCACGCACAGGTAGAGCGCGCTCAGTGCTCGTGCTCGTGCTCGTGCTCGTGCTCGTGCTCACCTCTGTAGTCGGTGGAGTGCGAGGTGGCGGAGGGCGGGCTGTGCGCGGGCGCGACGTACGCGTTGTGCAGCACGCACAGGTAGAGCGCGCTCAGTGCTCGTGCTCGTGCTCGTGCTCGTGCTCACCTCTGTAGTCGGTGGAGTGCGAGGTGGCGGAGGGCGGGCTGTGCGCGGGCGCGACGTACGCGTTGTGCAGCACGCACAGGTAGAGCGCGCTCAGTGCTCGTGCTCGTGCTCGTGCTCGTGCTCACCTCTGTAGTCGGTGGAGTGCGAGGTGGCGGAGGGCGGGCTGTGCGCGGGCGCGACGTACGCGTTGTGCAGCACGCACAGGTAGAGCGCGCTCAGTGCTCGTGCTCGTGCTCGTGCTCGTGCTCACCTCTGTAGTCGGTGGAGTGCGAGGTGGCGGAGGGCGGGCTGTGCGCGGGCGCGACGTACGCGTTGTGCAGCACGCACAGGTAGAGCGCGCTCAGTGCTCGTGCTCGTGCTCGTGCTCGTGCTCACCTCTGTAGTCGGTGGAGTGCGAGGTGGCGGAGGGCGGGCTGTGCGCGGGCGCGACGTACGCGTTGTGCAGCACGCACAGGTAGAGCGCGCTCAGTGCTCGTGCTCGTGCTCGTGCTCGTGCTCACCTCTGTAGTCGGTGGAGTGCGAGGTGGCGGAGGGCGGGCTGTGCGCGGGCGCGACGTACGCGTTGTGCAGCACGCACAGGTAGAGCGCGCTGAGCAGCGGCACGGCGAGCGCCTCCGACGTCTCCACCTGCACGGCCGACACGCACACCAGCGACAGCCGCCCCCGCGCGTACTCGCCGATCGTCATGCCGCCGCTGCCGCGTCACAATACCGTTTACTAACTACTACACGGGCTCTTCTACGGCCTTAGTACATTACGCACTACGTTACGGTCAATTCGCCATAACTCCTTTAGTCGGCTGATTTTTTTAATGTGACTTAAAACATATCATTATTTATGTGCGCACTCTGTCAAACTTTTAAAATACGAAATAAAGATATATACTTTCTGAAATAAACATCACGTTGACACAGTGCGCACATAAATAATGACGTTTTCTTAGTCACAAAATCAGTGTTAAATTTTCGAAAATAACGTTTGCTTTTTGCAAGGTAAACAATATTAGTCTTCTCGCTCGCTCGCAATCGACCAAAGAGGTCACGGAGAATTGACCGTAGAACTTTATGTGCAATGTATTTGTATCACACAATAGCCACTTACAATCAGGCGGACTGTAAATTTGTTTGTCAAGTAAATAGAACTGAACTTCCTCCCTTACATTTAATTATTTGATTAAGGGTAAAATGGGAATGAAGAATTAATATTCTACCCCTCTAAACCTTCAGACGTATTTCATTAAAGAAAAAAAATACTAATTTATAGTATAACTTAATAGGAAAAGATATCAAATATAATACGTACTATTCATTACATCCTGGAAACTCCGGCACGGCCAATCCCCTGTAATGGTAAGGGAAAGCCACCAGAGACAGCAGAAGGCTGATGGCTGCTTTCCTTAGCTCCCGTTTATCAATTGATGTGCAGTCGATTTTAGGCTCTCTTTCCGAAAGTATAAGATCCAGAGCCGTGATGAAGTCGGGTACAAGAACTAATACACCGTCGAGGTCTAATCTGTTGAAAGTAAATATTGAACAACTTAGTAAGTTTAAAATGAATCAACCTACATTGTTTCTCATTTAAATAACTAACTAGTATTTAGCTCTAGGTGTATTTCAGTGTGCGTGATATTATTATTGAATCAATCGCGCAGGCCGCGGCGCAGTGCGGCGTACGTGCGCGCCAGGTACGGCGCCAGCACCTCCTCGCGGCACTGCTTGGAGCACAGCACGTACGTACGTGCGCAGGGCTGCACCTGAGCATGTGGTGCGCGTGCAGCACGACGGCGGCGGCGGTGGCGGGGTCGCGCAGGCCGCGGCGCAGTGCGGCGTACGTGCGCGCCAGGTACGGCGCCAGCACCTCCTCGCGGCACTGCTTGGAGCACAGCACGTACGTACGTGCGCAGGGCTGCACCTGAGCATGTGGTGCGCGTGCAGCACGACGGCGGCGGCGGTGGCGGGGTCGCGCAGGCCGCGGCGCAGTGCGGCGTACGTGCGCGCCAGGTACGGCGCCAGCACCTCCTCGCGGCACTGCTTGGAGCACAGCACGTACGTACGTGCGCAGGGCTGCACCTGAGCATGTGGTGCGCGTGCAGCACGACGGCGGCGGCGGTGGCGGGGTCGCGCAGGCCGCGGCGCAGTGCGGCGTACGTGCGCGCCAGGTACGGCGCCAGCACCTCCTCGCGGCACTGCTTGGAGCACAGCACGTACGTACGTGCGCAGGGCTGCACCTGAGCATGTGGTGCGCGTGCAGCACGACGGCGGCGGCGGTGGCGGGGTCGCGCAGGCCGCGGCGCAGTGCGGCGTACGTGCGCGCCAGGTACGGCGCCAGCACCTCCTCGCGGCACTGCTTGGAGCACAGCACGTACGTACGTGCGCAGGGCTGCACCTGAGCATGTGGTGCGCGTGCAGCACGACGGCGGCGGCGGTGGCGGGGTCGCGCAGGCCGCGGCGCAGTGCGGCGTACGTGCGCGCCAGGTACGGCGCCAGCACCTCCTCGCGGCACTGCTTGGAGCACAGCACGTACGTACGTGCGCAGGGCTGCACCTGAGCATGTGGTGCGCGTGCAGCACGACGGCGGCGGCGGTGGCGGGGTCGCGCAGGCCGCGGCGCAGTGCGGCGTACGTGCGCGCCAGGTACGGCGCCAGCACCTCCTCGCGGCACTGCTTGGAGCACAGCACGTACGTACGTGCGCAGGGCTGCACCTGAGCATGTGGTGCGCGTGCAGCACGACGGCGGCGGCGGTGGCGGGGTCGCGCAGGCCGCGGCGCAGTGCGGCGTACGTGCGCGCCAGGTACGGCGCCAGCACCTCCTCGCGGCACTGCTTGGAGCACAGCACGTACGTACGTGCGCAGGGCTGCACCTGAGCATGTGGTGCGCGTGCAGCACGACGGCGGCGGCGGTGGCGGGGTCGCGCAGGCCGCGGCGCAGTGCGGCGTACGTGCGCGCCAGGTACGGCGCCAGCACCTCCTCGCGGCACTGCTTGGAGCACAGCACGTACGTACGTGCGCAGGGCTGCACCTGAGCATGTGGTGCGCGTGCAGCACGACGGCGGCGGCGGTGGCGGGGTCGCGCAGGCCGCGGCGCAGTGCGGCGTACGTGCGCGCCAGGTACGGCGCCAGCACCTCCTCGCGGCACTGCTTGGAGCACAGCACGTACGTACGTGCGCAGGGCTGCACCTGAGCATGTGGTGCGCGTGCAGCACGACGGCGGCGGCGGTGGCGGGGTCGCGCAGGCCGCGGCGCAGTGCGGCGTACGTGCGCGCCAGGTACGGCGCCAGCACCTCCTCGCGGCACTGCTTGGAGCACAGCACGTACGTACGTGCGCAGGGCTGCACCTGAGCATGTGGTGCGCGTGCAGCACGACGGCGGCGGCGGTGGCGGGGTCGCGCAGGCCGCGGCGCAGTGCGGCGTACGTGCGCGCCAGGTACGGCGCCAGCACCTCCTCGCGGCACTGCTTGGAGCACAGCACGTACGTACGTGCGCAGGGCTGCACCTGAGCATGTGGTGCGCGTGCAGCACGACGGCGGCGGCGGTGGCGGGGTCGCGCAGGCCGCGGCGCAGTGCGGCGTACGTGCGCGCCAGGTACGGCGCCAGCACCTCCTCGCGGCACTGCTTGGAGCACAGCACGTACGTACGTGCGCAGGGCTGCACCTGAGCATGTGGTGCGCGTGCAGCACGACGGCGGCGGCGGTGGCGGGGTCGCGCAGGCCGCGGCGCAGTGCGGCGTACGTGCGCGCCAGGTACGGCGCCAGCACCTCCTCGCGGCACTGCTTGGAGCACAGCACGTACGTACGTGCGCAGGGCTGCACCTGAGCATGTGGTGCGCGTGCAGCACGACGGCGGCGGCGGTGGCGGGGTCGCGCAGGCCGCGGCGCAGTGCGGCGTACGTGCGCGCCAGGTACGGCGCCAGCACCTCCTCGCGGCACTGCTTGGAGCACAGCACGTACGTACGTGCGCAGGGCTGCACCTGAGCATGTGGTGCGCGTGCAGCACGACGGCGGCGGCGGTGGCGGGGTCGCGCAGGCCGCGGCGCAGTGCGGCGTACGTGCGCGCCAGGTACGGCGCCAGCACCTCCTCGCGGCACTGCTTGGAGCACAGCACGTACGTACGTGCGCAGGGCTGCACCTGAGCATGTGGTGCGCGTGCAGCACGACGGCGGCGGCGGTGGCGGGGTCGCGCAGGCCGCGGCGCAGTGCGGCGTACGTGCGCGCCAGGTACGGCGCCAGCACCTCCTCGCGGCACTGCTTGGAGCACAGCACGTACGTACGTGCGCAGGGCTGCACCTGAGCATGTGGTGCGCGTGCAGCACGACGGCGGCGGCGGTGGCGGGGTCGCGCAGGCCGCGGCGCAGTGCGGCGTACGTGCGCGCCAGGTACGGCGCCAGCACCTCCTCGCGGCACTGCTTGGAGCACAGCACGTACGTACGTGCGCAGGGCTGCACCTGAGCATGTGGTGCGCGTGCAGCACGACGGCGGCGGCGGTGGCGGGGTCGCGCAGGCCGCGGCGCAGTGCGGCGTACGTGCGCGCCAGGTACGGCGCCAGCACCTCCTCGCGGCACTGCTTGGAGCACAGCACGTACGTACGTGCGCAGGGCTGCACCTGAGCATGTGGTGCGCGTGCAGCACGACGGCGGCGGCGGTGGCGGGGTCGCGCAGGCCGCGGCGCAGTGCGGCGTACGTGCGCGCCAGGTACGGCGCCAGCACCTCCTCGCGGCACTGCTTGGAGCACAGCACGTACGTACGTGCGCAGGGCTGCACCTGAGCATGTGGTGCGCGTGCAGCACGACGGCGGCGGCGGTGGCGGGGTCGCGCAGGCCGCGGCGCAGTGCGGCGTACGTGCGCGCCAGGTACGGCGCCAGCACCTCCTCGCGGCACTGCTTGGAGCACAGCACGTACGTACGTGCGCAGGGCTGCACCTGAGCATGTGGTGCGCGTGCAGCACGACGGCGGCGGCGGTGGCGGGGTCGCGCAGGCCGCGGCGCAGTGCGGCGTACGTGCGCGCCAGGTACGGCGCCAGCACCTCCTCGCGGCACTGCTTCGAGCACACCACGCGGCACAGCGCGCCCAGCGCCACGGCACGCCCTGCATGCACACACTACACTGCAATTACGTCCTGCCACGGACCGATACCATCACGATCAAAACAACATTTAACTTCACATTGCGCATTAGCTTCAGACTAAATAAATCTATGGATTTTGTATTATATAATAACCTTTATCAAAAAAAAAAACTAGCGTTCCGCTCCGGCTTCGCACGGTTATTTCTGGATATCGACATCAGCAGACAACATTTATACAGGGTTATTTTGCAATATATGACTCAGTTTGCAGAAAAGGTTCAGAATAAGTAATATAAGCGAATGGTGAAGACAAATTAATTACAAAAATCTCAAACATTGAGTCCTTTTTATCTTTTAAATTCAGAATGCGTGATAATGCATTATTTTAAATGATTATCATGGATAAATATCCAACGCCTACTATTTTATGCACGCACTCATTCGTAAGGGTTCTCGGTAAAGTACTTTGTCGCGTCTTCCCACATTCTTCCCTTCCGTTTACCGTTACACCGTTAAGTACCTACATCCGCTCACCCGGCCGACAGCTGACAAAGCTGACCGTGCCCTCATTACGTGCGCTCCGTTACTAATATCATAACGAAAATATTCAAACCGCAGATACTACGAAATGGTGCGATATTATATTTTAAGCAATGAAAGTTTATGTAGTGCGCAAAAATTATACGAAAGTGAGGCCTTACCGCGGAAGGAAATTAACGTATGTGTACTCACTAATCGAAGAACAATTGACAGCTAATCAAACTATTCAAGTGCAGTGGGCGATAACTTAAACAGTGACAGTGTTGACCGTGCCTTTCGCTATGAATAACGGAAAAAAAAGTTTCGAACCACAGATACTATGAAATTATGCATAATGCATTAAACTTTCATTGTATATAATTATATGCAATGAAAGTTTATGTTGTGCGCAAAAGTGTGAATATTATCCTATATACCGGAACAAAGGGTGTTTGTGAAACGCTCCCGCAAACGAAAACAGATGATATTACTAAGGTCACCTTTGATCATGGGTCACAAATAAATTCGATCTCGAGCTAAAAAAATCATCTTTTCACAACGTTTTATTAACTTTATTCACGCTCCATCATGTTAGTACAGCTAAATGAAACGATAAGTTTATAAAAAAATCATGAAAATACTTAAACATAAAACCAGCAGTGAAACTTAAAATAAAATCAGCTGACAATGGGGTCAATATTCTCGGGTCACGTAAAAAGAACGCTGGCCTTCAAGAATCTGCGCACTCAGCGATTTATCGATCAAATTGGTGGTACGAAGGGGGTGCGACGGGGGAATGCTCGACAGTATTACCGTGCACGCAAGCTATTGGTTCCTCATGCTTCCCGCGCTTTGTTCGCTCCCAAAATACAGTCACACACACAGCTTTGTCTGCACGACTCGCAACGATGGTTGTAAAAAGGAAGGAATGAAAAATTATTTATGTTTTATAACTGAACTAGTGAACGAAAAGGTAAATATGATGGGAGAAGGTGAATGGGGAAAATTGTGCAGTAAAGTTAAAAGTATTGCGGAAGAATACCGAAAAAATTACCATATGATCTGATTTAAAAAATAATTTAATAAAACGTGCTCTATGCATTAAGAGTGTGACGACACGACCCTAGCTGTTCGACCGTTCAGCAGTCCTTGGAAGCCCTCGGCTGCGCGGGACCAACTAGCGGTTTTCCTCGCCTCGCCAGTCGATCCGACCGTCCGACGCCGTGAGGCTGCTCGTTCACGCTTCAATCTGCTACTTTGAATTTACGTTGTGAATAAATGGTTATTTAAAATGTAGTGTGCTCGTTATTCACATCCCCACAAGAGAAACGGATTCCTACTGTTATTGCAGTTTTTGAAAATACGAGTAAATAAGGCTTCTACTTTTATTTGAAATTATCCCAAATTGAACGTGCTTTATGAGCAACAACTACTCATACGCACGCTCCTGTGCACGCACTTTCTTAGTGACACGCTCACTACTAATGCTTACGTTAATAACGTCACGACGCGAATTATAATTTCAATTTTCCCTACAAACTTTTAACGGGCTTAGGAACGTCATAATAAATATAATAATGAAAAAAGATAATTTTGCTTATCAACGACGTAACCGATGACTGTCATTATTATGGCGTATTTAAAAAATAGAATTTTTATTTACAACTAATTTACACAAGTAGTCCCAATAACTAACATTGGTACCTCAAATTGAACCCGTTTCTCTTCATGCATAGACAAGCACATTTTCTTAAATTATCAATGTATGTGTACACTTTTAAGTTCCGTGAATGCAGCAATAATTTTGTTGCAGCGGTCTTTCATAACTTTGAGCCTCTCTGACGTAAACAGGCCTGTTTTTAAATTAAGATTTTGGCTTGGATGCTTGTATTTTAAGCCATGTCTTCATTAAACACCTCTTTATTTCTATTTGAATGACAAAAAGTTAAAATAATGCATTACCACGTATTCTGAATTTAAGATATAAAAAGGACAGAATGATTGATTTTTTTCACCATTCGCCTATATTACTTATTCTGAACCGTCTCTGCAAATTTAGGCATACATTGCAAAATAACCATGTATATTCCTCCTCATCGACTGCGATGACGGCGACCCTGAGTCGGGTAAATAAAACTAAACTAATTTATATCATTATGAGATTTACCTGGTTGATAACTCATCATATTCAACCTGTAAGTAGCGTCGGAGAGGGATGGAGGAGGCGGTGTGCCTTCGGCTCGCTCTGTTAAATTAAGAAAAGAATTAGTTGCATCAATAAATATACTATAACACGAAAATACTTTTTTTTTTTTTTTTTTTTTATAGGATGAGGGTGACAAACGAGCACACAGTCCACCTGATGGTAAGTGGTTGCTGCGGCCCATAGACATCTACATCTATCCTCTGTTACAAATCAAAATGTAGATGCGTTGTCACCCGTGAGGACTAAGATGGAATGCCTCATTTCCAGTAAAAAGGGCCTCCGGCCACCTGCACTCACCAAGCGAAACGCAGAGGTAAACCTCTACTTCACGCTGGTTTTCTGTGAGGTCGTGGTACTACCCCGGTTCGAGCCGGCCCATCCGTGCGACAGCAAAAGCTGCCGCGTGGCTCTACCACTGTTGAAAAACTACTTAATCAACTTATTGGGATATTTCATTAATCCCAATAAATCGATTAAAAGAAGTCATCATTAAAAGACAGAAAATATAAATATGATGAAATAATGTATTAAGAAACTAGCAATCTCAAAGATTTAAATATTTTTTTACAATATTTACTCGATTAAAATATTGCGTACATGACACGTATCCATGGGTTGCAGGAGTCACTTTTTTACATATTGTAAGCCAGTGCTTGAATACCATCCCACCTAATGTTAGCTTGTTACTGTTAGTTTTGTTCGTTTAACTAAACAAAAGCTTAATAATAGAATATAAAGACACAAGCAAATTATTTTATTCCTTTGCTGCACGCATTACGACTGACGAAGCAAACCATTTGGTTCAAAGCTTATATTGCACGGTGTGGTGTTGGAGGTAAAATGAAACGATCGAATGTCTAAATAATAATAAATGTATATTTTGTAAACCATCTAATATATAAGATTACTATTAGGAAAATATAGCATAACATAAGATAGTAAGAAGTATTATTTAAACATGCAACATGCTGTATAGTATGTGTCGTCCACAAAGGGATGGAGCCCGCCAAGCGTCACGTTGACGAATGTTGGGAAAAGTAAGGAAAAAGTAAATCATGCAAATAAAAAAAATATTGTTTGTACTCGGCGTCGAGTTCGACAAGATATTTTTAGAAAAATAATGTCACCAACATCTTAGCGCTAAGAGAAGTGTCACCGAGTTCAAAGCTGCTAAGTAGCATACAGGCGTATTGTTAGCTTTTGTCACTCAATGAAAACATTATAGTTGTTATTAAATTATTACTCACGTTGATTGTTATTAGGCGAGGGTGTGGTGCCGATAAGAGCTGCTTCAAACAACCATTCGCCAAATAGATGTAAGATAGAGTTCACTTTTGGACGTAACGGTGTTAGGGGAGGTTTCTCGGTCTCGTCCACTGCAATCAAGAATGTAATGATGCTAAGTAACGTTTGCTAACACCGAGTAGTGGCGGTGTAAGAATATCCACTACTCCATGTACATATACCGTGGGTGTCGTAAGAGACGGCAGAGGGAAACAAAACAAAGAGATGGGCAGCAGCGCCTCCCTAATAACGACTAAAAATAAAAAACTGCGGTTGCCACCCCTTTTGCCAAGCGTGGCTGCTATGTCAAATATCCCTCCTATGAGGCAATCTATGGCCTTTGTTTAATAGTGGACTTTGATAGATGTAACGGTTACCGCAATGTTTGTTAATTCTCAGTTTTCCTTTGCAAGTTATAGCTCTCTTTACTAGACGGCTTTTTTTTTGTTTGCAAAAAAAATAGGGTGTAATAGGTGAACAGAGTGAGTAGAAGCTTATGGCACTGATATTTTACAATTTTTAAAAAAAAAATATGAAAATGATCTATTAATAAATACTTACTACTAATTTGAAGTAAACTTTTGATACTAAAAGTATGTGGATATTCTTGATCGCCGTGTAGTGGCGGTCAAGAATATCCACTACCCCATATCCTCCCGTGGGTGTCGTAAAAGGCGACAAAGGGAAACACGCAGGAGATGGGCAGCAGCATCTTCTTGATAACAACAAACTAACAATAAAAAAAAACTGCGGTTGCCAACCCGCTCGCCAAGCGTGGCAACTATGGAAAATACCCCCCTATGAATGACAGTAACAAAGAAACGGCCCCCAGTCCCCGGCGGCCCCGCTATTCCTGGCTACGGTGGCGACCATGGTAACGGCGGGGCAGGGGGTGCTAAGGATCTCCGGTGGAGGTTCGGTTGCCACCTTAGACGACTCGACCTGGCAACGTACAACGCACGCACCCTGAGGACTGACGAGAAGATTGTGGGGCTGGAAGAAGAGATAAACAAGTTGCGCTGGCATATTATAGGATTATCCGAAGTCCGAAGAGAGGGGAAGGACACGGTAATCCTCGAATCCGGCAACTTGCTCTATCACCGGGAGGGCGACCATCTGTCCCAAGGACGGATTTATCGTCCACAAGTCTCTCGTTAACAACGTTGTAAAGATCGGGAGTATGTCGACGAGGGTTGCGTACCTTATACTCAGAATCACCAAACGGTATTCGCTGAAGGTCATACAGGTTTACGCACCAACCTCGGCACACCCCGATGAGGAGGTGGAGGAAATGTATGAGGATATCTCTAGAGCCATGCATTCCTCCAAAACCCAATATACAGTGTTAATGGGAGACTTCAACGCAAAACTAGGCACAAGAGAGAACGGTGAGCTGAAAGTAGGGAAATTTGGAATAGGGCAACGGAACCCAAGGGGCCAGCAGCTGGCCGACTTCATGGAGAAAGAGGGACTCTTTATGATGAACTCTTTTTTCCAGAAGCGGCCCCACAGGAAGTGGACCTGGTCGAGCCCCGACGGTTCGACAAAAAATGAGATTGACTTCATTATGACGACCAGACGACAACTGTTCAGTGATGTCTCCGTGATCGCGAGGGTGAAAACTGGTAGCGATCACCGAATGGTTAGAGGCACACTGAACCTAAACGTTAAGTTGGAGAGGTCTCGTCTAATGAAGTCAACGCTCCGTCCCCCTCGTGCTTTGTTCCAAAGTCCCGAAACCTTTCGGCTCGAGTTACAATACCGTTTTCAGTGCCTAGAAGACTGCAATGAAGTGGACGATATGAATGACAAGCTCGTGGACACTGTCCATGCGGTCGGAGCTAAGTTCTGCAAGACCCGCCGCAGAAGAACACAAAAACTCTCCGATCACACTCTTAATCTCATGGCTGTTAGACGGGAGATGAAGCTACATTCTTCAACAGACTTGACAGCATACAGGCATCTGAACAGACAGATCTCCAAATGCATGCGGCGGGACTTACGCAACTTCAATACAGCTCGTATTGAAGAAGCGATCGAGCGGAACCAAGGCTCCAAAGTCTTTGCCAGAGATCTGTCTGCCAGAAAGAGCCAACTGTCAAAGCTGAAGACAGAGTGTGGCAGCATCGTTTCCGGGACACCTGAGATTTTGAGTGAGATTGAGAGGTTCTATGGGCAGTTGTACACGTCATCGCTGGAGCCACACGCAAGTGTGAGTAACGATCCAAGAGCGAGTCTCATCCGACACTATTCCGAAGATATCCCGTACGTCACTCTGAGCGACGAAAACCGGTACTTGAAGTTCTTCAGAAGCTCTTTAATTCCGTCCTCCATGGTGGCATTACACCGGAGGCGTGGAGCAGAAGTGCGGTGGTCTTGTTCTTCAAGAAAGGTGACAACGCTCTCTTGAAGAACTACAGACCGATTTTCCTTCTGAGCCGCGTCTACGTGCTGTTTTAGAGAGTCATTACGAATCGTCTCGCGCGCAGACTTGACGACTTCCAGCCTCCCGAACAAGCCAGTTTCCGAAAGGGCTTTAGCACCATAGACCACATACATAGCCTTCGGCAAAGTGTACTGAAGTCCAAAGAGTACAATTTGCTACTATGTCTGGCGTATGTGGACTATGAGAAAGCCTTTGATTCCGTCGAAATTTGGGCGGTGCTGCAGTCCCTTCAGAGATGCCCAGTTGACTGTCGGTATATCGAAGTGTTGAAGTGCTTGTACAGTAGGGCTACGATGGCTATCCGAGTACAGAACCAGAGTACGAAACCTATCCAATTGCAGAGAGGTGTAAGACAGGGTGACGTCATATCCCCGAAACTCTTCATCGCTGCATTGGAAGACGTTTTGAAGCTTCTGGACTGGAAAGGATACGGTATCAACATCAATGGCGAGTACATCACTCACCTTCGATTTGCCGACGATATAGTCCTTATGGCAGAATCGCTGGAGGACCTAAGCACTATGCTCAATGACCTCAATAGTGTTTCCCAACGGATAGGTCTTAAGATGAACATGGACAAAACAAAGATCATGTTTAATGTCCATGTCACACCTATGCCGGTAGTTGTTGGGAACACTAAGCTCGAAGTTGTTGACGAGTATGTTTACTTGGGACAAATAGTCCGACTAGGTAAGTCCAACTTCGACCGAGAGGTCAATCGACGGATTCAACTCGGCTGGGCAGCGTTCGGGAAGCTACGACACATCTTCTCGTCAGACATACCTCAAAACCTTAAAACGAAATTGTACAACCAGTGCGTGTTGCCAGTGATGATTTACGAAACTGAGACGTGGTCCTTCACTGCTGGCCGTATGAGAAAGCTCAAGGTCGCTCAGCGAGCTATGGAGAGGGTTATGCTCGGAGTTTCTCTGCGTGATAAACTTAGGAATGAGAATATCCGCAGTAGAACCAGAGTAACCGACATAGCCCAACGGATTAGTAAACTGAAGTGGCAGTGGGCCGGCCATATAGCTCGAAGAAACGACAACCGATGGGGAAGAAAGGTTCTCGAGTGGCAGCCTCGTACCGGTAGGCGAAGTGTAGGGCGTCCCCCCACGAGATGGAGTGACGACCTGGTAAGACATGCAGGAAGTCGATGGATGCAGGTGGCTCAGGACCGTGCTTTGTGGCATTCTTTGGGGGAGGCCTATGTTCAGCAGTGGACTTGTGAAGGGCTGTAATGATGATGATGATGACTAAAAGTATGAAAACAAAAGATTAGAAATAAATCCAATTAAAACTATCGAAATTCATACGTACTCTACTTTACGAGCAGCAATAATATTAATGAATTTGTAACGCGATGCTATAGCATACATTGAAAACAACCGACACTCGACGCACCCGCGTTAGGCCTCTTTGATGTCCTTTCTCAGGCGCAAGTGCCGCCCGCGCATACCCGCCGCCGCTTTCAGTCACGTTAGACACGGCGTGACGTCATAATATTGTTTATCGTTCCGCGTGTGTATCGAGCGCCCCCTGATAGTTATCGTAAACATGTACCAATACTCTAATGTCGAGTACCTAGCAATGGTGATATTTTATGTCTTGTCTGGTGAAAACGTAGACGGAGCGAGACGAATGTACGTAGAAGAACACCTACAATCGTTTCGCAGGGGCGGAATCCCTGCTCCTCAAATTACCAGCACTTTTAATATTAAGGACGTATCAGCGCTTACGTGAGTTCCAGAAACTGCTTCATTCAATGGATATGCATCCATACCATTTCTCACGCGTGCAAGCTTTGCACGCGCCGTACCCCGGAGTACACAAGGAGTTTTGTCGTTGGCTGCAGGACCATGGGCAGGTTAACATTTTGTGGAGCTACGAGAAGATATTCACCCGCGTTGGAATTTACAACGTGCACTATGAGCAATGGTGGAGTTTCCAAAACCCACACAAAATCAAAGAACATGCTCATCAAGTTCGTTTCAGTGTTAACGTTTGGCGACGATCATTAACGACCACATCATTGATCTAATACGAATTGAATGTCGATTGACGGGAGTAACGTATCTGTTATGTATGTTCCGTCATCGACACAATTGTATAGCGTTGCTATGAGCCATCTGCAAGGAATGTACTTCCAGCACGACGGATGTCTAACTCATTATGAACGATTTGTGCACGCATATCTGGACAGCCAATTCGGCGATAGGTCGCGGTGGACCTGTGAACTGGTCGGCGAGATCATCAAACCTAACACCTCTAGGCTTTTATTTATGGGGCGAACTAAAACGATTACCGTACACAAAAGAAGCACAAGGTGTTAGTGATTTAAAGCAGCGCATAATAAAAGTTTAACAAACAATTTACAAAGACGTGCTAGTTTGTTTTTTAAAAGAAACGGTGGACATTTTGAACAATTACTGCGATATCGTTAAAAGGTTTTTTTATTTTTGTAAATAACAATAATGTAGTACAATTTTGTAAATATCAATCAGTGTAGTTTGTAAATAAGTTCATTTCGATATTTGGCTTAGCTTTCCATTGACGTCAGTGGAGTTTGGTGTTGATACGTATTTTTGCAGAAAGATTACACTATTATAAGCACACACACAAAGTCTCAATATACGGAAACGCGTAATTTTTGAGAAAAGAATAATTGAAAATCAATTATTCTTGCAATGTTTATGTCTAATCTGCTAATAAACTGGCGCCATTTTGTAATGTCATTGTCGACGTCAATAGGGATGTCGATTCTTTCCGAAAAAGATTGATTTTTTAAATAGATTCGAATTGTAAGCTGGTGTATCGATTCCCAAAAAATCGATTTCTAAAATATCGATATTTTTTTCATGTTTGCATTTATAATGTAAATATAAATCCATTTTATGAGAAAAAAATCCCCTTCATCATAAAAAAATAAGTGGACTGATTCATAAGGATTTCTGTATCTATTTTGCCTCCGCAGGTTCGGCTTGTTGGTCGCCTTCGGCGACCAGCCTCAGCCGCTCCGGCTCGTCCAATGCCTACGATTTCTTACGCTAAGGCGTAGAGGTTGCTCTTCCCGCAGCGCCGGAGACGTAGCAGTCTCAAAATAGATACAGAAATCCTTATGAATCAGTCCACTTATTTTTTTATGATGAAGGGGATTTTTTTCTCATAAAATGGATTTATATTTACATTATAAATGCAAACATGAAAAAAATATCGATATTTTAGAAATCGATTTTTTGGGAATCGATACACCAGCTTACAATTCGAATCTATTTAAAAAATCAATCTTTTTCGGAAAGAATCGACATCCCTATTGACGTCGACAATGACATTACAAAATGGCGCCAGTTTATTAGCAGATTAGACATAAACATTGCAAGAATAATTGATTTTCAATTATTCTTTTCTCAAAAATTACGCGTTTCCGAATATTGAGACTTTGTGTGTGTGCTTATAATAGTGTAATCTTTCTGCAAAAATACGTATCAACACCAAACTCCACTGACGTCAATGGAAAGTCGTACCCGATATTTTAAATACGCCTAAGATGTTGCAGTATACAGTAGGCATAAAAAATATTATTAGAAACTGTTTATAAATTCATTATAGCGCTTACAACTTTCATTCCCTAACGGTCGTAGCCTACCCCGTTAAATATCACCTATTTTTAGTTTTACGCAAATGCCGTAGGATAAATTGCTTTTACGTATTTTTTGGATATTCGGAAATTTTGACTATTAGTTATATTTTACAAATACTTTCGAGGATAGCTTCTATTCCACTTACACAAAACACTTTAGCGATAGCGACTGACTCCAGATCAGAAGGTTGCGTGTTCAGATCACGTCGGAGTCACCAATTTAGCGATAGCGAGCAACGTGCGTTCCGCGTTGTATCGGTAGATCGAATGGTGAGCGCGGTGCGCGGACACAGACAATCCTTTTGCCAGCTGTGCTAACGGAATTCCGGGCGGCGCATTCAACGCCCGGCTGTTGCTACGTACATTGTGTCGAGAGTATATAGTGGCGTGTAAAAGTATTGTATATGTTGAGTGAGAAAGTATGTACGTGTTTATCTGTGTAGGTATATGCGTGTGTGTATAATGTAGGAAAGTATTCTACAACACCATATCATTTTCCAGACGATAAAAAAGTCACCCAGAATATGCTGTAATCGCGACTTTTGGCTGGCAGATTGATGATCGTAATACTGTGCTGCCCATCACTGTTACATCACAGCGTAAGCTGGATGATTGTACCGCCTCCTAAGAGTATATGAAATACAATTGGCGTTTTCCATAGTCATCTCTTACGACTCCGGAAAAAATAAAGAATAATTTTAATTATATGGAATTACAAGCATTCGTTCGGAAAAAATAACGTTTGTCATGAGACAAACCAGCAGAAAAACCAACAGGACACTTTTTTTAAAAATATACTTAGCAATATAATATGTTGTACAACTCATTATGAAAACATTTACGAGTAGAAACAGCATGGTAGCGATCACCTCATTTCCAGGGGTTATTATCAATCATGTACTCTTTAGAAGTGTAATAACTCTGATGGATCTTTTTATGCCGTCACAACATTACTGCCATCTATATTATAGTACTTACATTCTTCCCTCCTCTTATTCCAATCAGCGACGAGTATTGCAGCTAGTTTATTATAAAATGATGACAAGTATATTTGTATCATCACCTCATCTTCAAAGTTAATAATGTAAATATATGATTATACATCGTGTTATTAACACAATTAAGTTTAATCTTTCATTGTACCTTGAGACGACATAGAATTAGGCGGCGTAGTTGGAACCACGCTGGAGGGGCGGCTTCCTGTCAGACCGATCAGGGAAGTACGCGGCGTACCTGTCACATAAGTAACATTGTTGTTAGTTAACATAGCACTTTAAGTTGGTGTAAGATTAAATTTTATTTTAACGTTAACAGTAGTAAAGTTATTAGTATGTTTACAATTATTTGTCACAATGCAAAGCTTTTCGAAATGTATGTGGCGTTCATGCTTTGTTTATGTGTAATAGAAGCACAAAAATGAACATATTATATTTATTTTTTATGCTTAACATAAGTAATGACAAAAATATGAACCATTCAATCATGCGCACTATCGCTAGTGATTAGCACGTGGTTGAGATAACCATTTATTAAAAAATTTAAAGCGTGATTAAACAAATTTTAATAAATGTATTATTAATACAGCGTTTATATTTTTATCTGAATTAGACATAATCGTAATTAATTGATGCTGCTGTATGACTCAAGTTTTATCATGTTTTTGGAATGATAATTCTGCCATTTGTTGATGATTCGGGATCTTCTTTTCACAGATTACCTCTTACGACATCACTTAATATAAAAGTAAAGTAAAGTTGCAGCCTATTTACGTCCCACTGCTGGGCACAGGCCTCCTATGACTTCTGAGAGGGTTTTAGGGCAAGGAAATATCCGCCACGCTGCCCCAATGCGTGTTGGCGAACTTCACATGTCTTCGAAATATTTTTTTTTTATTTCTCAGACATGCAGGTTTCCTCACGATGTTTTCCTTCACCGCCGAGCACGTGGTAAATCAGCACTTAGCTGAGCTACGCACGGCTCTCAAGTAATATAATACATGGTATAACTGAATTATTTTATAAGATAATGCTCGACAATTTCCTAAATAGATGAAGGAAAAAAAATACACATAACATTCGAAAAGTTCACTATAGCGTTAAAAGCACAATACATTGCAATTACAAGCAAAAATTACACCGAAGCATAAAAAACATGTTAAAACCGCAGCCAATGGGATCCAATCTAGCGCGCATTATTTTTACAAACACAAGCGACAATCCACTGTGTTGCGATGAGCACAAAGCGTATAACGGCGTGCGTCGTACTTCGTTCGGCGAGCTTGTCGCGCGGCCGCGAGGCGACGCTGAATGACTTGGCAAGGCGGCGGTGCGCAGGGGGCGTGAGCTCGTCGTCCGGGTCGGGCGCGCCCCCCGCTCCCCCCGCGCCCCCTGCGCCCCCCGCGCTCCCGCACCAGTCGCGCCACCGCTCCGTGCCGCGCCCTGCACCGTGCCGTGCCACCGCACCCTTATACTTGTGTCGCTCACTCGCATGTGCAAATTCACAAGCGCAGAGAGTACTTACATATTATTATGTACAGATCTTACAATATGCCTAACTGCATCGATTTTTTTAATATACATCAAAATGCGCGAACTTCATTTAGTCGCGTTGTTCAACAAAAAGGTTATACGACAACCCTACCCAAATTGTTGATCGATATTCGCCTGAAAGATGATGAAATAAAATAACTATACAGAGTACTAGGCAATAAACGTGAAATAGGCAATGGCATAGTTCTCCAGACCGAATTTCGGTCACTGCGACCGTCAAATTAAAGACTAGCAGTCATTTGCGCAGTACAGAACTGTAGTGCCCGATTGTATGTGCAACAGGCACAGGTGTACTCCCAATTTATATATTTTTATTTCAGAAGTATCAGGCGACCAGAAGTCAAAATATACTTATATTGACTTCTGGTCTGGCACATGAGTAGATAAACGGGACAGAGGTAAAGCTTCATACAACTGCGCGAATCGGTTGCACTACTACAAGCACGCGGGGCATGTGTGCGTGACCACTGGCCACTTGTCGCGTACGCGGCGAGACTGGAAAAAACCAGTTGCGCTGGTACAGCCAGTGGACAATATCTCAAGGTCAGTGCGACGCACGTTGTATGTTTTGTTAGTTGCAAGTTTGAGTATTTTATTGTAAAAACGTGGTATTATTAATAATAGTTGTTTATTGTACTGTGTCTATGAATAATACTATAAAAAATAAAAATATATCATACACTATCTACCCCAAGGAAGGCAATAGGTAAATAAATATTAGATTATTACTTTTTCACGATTTTAAAATTTTCGCGAATATTTCGATCTTGAAATAAATATTGTCAATGTTGACAACAAAATACTTAAACGTAGTAAAGATTGTAAATTTGATATGCCGTGTGAGTGTTTCCCGTTAGATTACTTGAAAAAACTTTATCTTACATTCAGAATTTACCACACCATTAAAAGAAACAATAAATTATTAAAAAAAAATTATAAAAAGAAAATTATTGAATTAAGTCATTTGTAAATTATTCTATCATACTGAATAATAAAACTATTTAACAAATGTTTTGTTTAATTTGTCTTCACCTATTGTGACAACCCTACCAAAATAGGTAACAATTTTGCACGTTCTTAAGGAGCTTTGTTTCTGTTCCGTTTATCTACTCATGTGGTATTATATTAGTGTACAAAATATACATAATAGAACTATATACATACTTGCCTCTTGCAAGTTTATGCATGCCTAGTACTATTCCTACAATAAAGTACTATCTAACTGATGACGAATTCTATGTAACTTAATTGAGTTAGAACTACTAAAACTTTTCTTTCCCAGTAGTTTTATCAGTTAGATCTACTTGGTAAGAAAATTCCCCGTAATCTTACTTGTAAAACTATTTGATAAAACTGTTGGGAATGCACCACGCCACGAAGAAAACAGTAAGACTACTGGTAAGAAAATTACCAGTACAGTCTTACTAGTAACACTACTTGGTAAGACTATTAGGAGTATTTCGACATCGAGAAAATCACCAATGTCATGACGAGTTGTTGACAAATCAGTAAACAGCATTTGTGAGCACGAATCTCTAGCACGGAACACTGTTACAATGACTATTTGCGTAATTTTTTTATAATCTTTTGCTCTAATATAAAACAAAAATAAATTTCCATCTCTAGTGTGTTTAAACAACACACGAATTAGTTTTGAAGTGAAACTTTTTACGGGAGGGCTTTAAAATGCTGATCCGCAACCTTTATGTATGACGAAAAGTGGTGGGGGTAAACACTACGTACCGGACCATTCAAGTCGATCATTCACATCGCGTACGCAAGGCATTAGATACTATAAAGTATATAGTAATACAATGACAATTACAAGATTAGAACGGTTTTGCGTTCAAATACTAGGCTTATATTAATTTTATTTAGGTCAGTTACCAAGGTACACATATTTATTTTAGAAAAAGTGAACGCATTTGAGCAATAGCACTATCTATTACATTCTATAGGTAAAGTAATTTTATCGAACAAAAATTGATTGACTCTCAAGGTGGTACCTCGAGTATGTAGATGCTAGATGGCATAAACCAAAAAAAATAATCAGTAAGTTTTGAAATCATGGATTGTTATGAATGGATTGGACAAACATGATAATTTTTTTTGTGTTTAAGCCATCTAGCGTCTTTTCTACATGCCACCATGAGATTTAATAAATTTTGAGAATGAAGTAGATGGCGCTATTAAAAAAAATTAACAAGGGAAGTAATTTGAAGCCCAATAATAATAGATAATTACCTAATTAACAAACCAAACCGATAATTTCTCTTCTTAAAGCGTAGCGCCCACCTACGTAACGTAACACATGATCTGACGCGTGATTTGACGCGTAACTTGTCACTCGCCTCAACATTCAAAGGAATTGTATGCAGTAGCGCGCATTCGCGTGGGGTGACGCCACATGACCTGACGTGCCTTTTCAGCTTGCTACTAGTGACGCATTGAAGCGGCGCGTAACACGAAACTTGTAGTGACTTTATATGCAAAATGAAAGGCGACCTAGCTTTTAATATTAAATTCATTGAGTTAGTTCATGAAAGACCATGTTTAAATGATTATACTAGACCAGATTACAGTAACAGGAACTCGCAAGATGCTTCTTGCAACTTGTAGTACAAATCTATGCGAAATGTAATTCTAATTCCTTCATAAAATTGAAAGTACCACCACTTTTCAAATATTTTCTCTAATGGGATGTACTCAAAATCTTCTGCTGGCACTTTGAATGTTTGAAATCTGTAGCAAAGCAAGGGCATGTTTATCCTCTACAGGCGACATTTTGGCTCAAACTAAATTCTGTGACATGCTATTGTTGCACAGGTTGGTGCAGGCAGGTCACTCGTGGTCACGTCAGAGCATCGTCAGAATCATGCTACAAGCCATGTCGAAATCATGATGATGAACTGTGACTCGTATGTATATAATTTTATGTAAATAAATGAATGATATACACAATCAATGCTATTCAAAAGTCATTGATGAATAATTGAAATGTTTCACTGTAATACAAAAGTTTCACTTCTGTCGTGTTTTTTTTAAATTATTTTTATTAGTCATAATTGTAGTTATGTAACTCAAAGTTAAATAAAATATAATAAAGTTAAGTTTAATAATTACAGAAAAAACAAATGAGAAATGTTAAGTGCATTCCCTTTTCAGTCACTCTCCACCTCCACTTTTCATCACCAGTGATCAATCTTTTCAAAAATGGTTCGGTTTCAATAGAGAATCGCAAAGTACACGATTCATTAGGTTTATTTCAGTGAGCTTGTGTGGTACCCAAACATCGAGTTTTTTGTATAGCCAGACTTTTTCAAATGGGTGAAAACTGTTTTGTGGTCAATCCTCAATTCAAATTCCTAATATGCCAATATTATTCCACTTTTTCAAAAATAGCATCGACTTTATCCGTATGAAGCGACTAGAGCGAGCTGCATTTTGACATCAAAATTCCCGGACTGAAAACACTTGGAACAACTTTGTGCTACTCTTACTGACACTGCATTAGGTCCATAAACGTCACAATTTTTTTTTCGCGACTTAAAACGCAATTTTCCTTATTATGTAATAAAATTTCAGAATTTTTCGAATTTCTTCCTTAGATTCACTCATTTTGGCGGACAGAAAAACAATTGAAAAGTGTCGGAAAAGTGTTTTTTACTTTTAATTTTTCTTAATGTCCTATAAGGCTGGACTCACGCATCCGGAATGCCTCTCTGAATTCATATTATTAATTAAGAAAGCCCAGAATTGCCTACAATTTAACTATTCTCCACACACGTTCAGATTTTTTCAGTTATGATTTTCTCAGATCGATCTCTAAGAACGACACTGACAAGAGTTCTGAATTCGGGATCGGAATACTTAAGATCATTATTTCATAACGCGCGTTTTTCTATATATTTGAACACGCAAGCACACACATACCGGAATCGGATTATGAATTATTTCAGTTGGCCCTGCGAGCGGTAACGGCTAGACGTGATGCAACATGTAACGTTTTTTTTTTAATATATAGAAGAGGGGCAAACGAGTATGCGGCTCACCTGATAGTGACTACCGCCGCCTATAAACAGCATCACTAGGTTAATTGCAGGACACAGAAGTTGTAATGTAGAACTGACTTTTCCTTACTCTGTTCACATTAAGATGATGAATCCAGTGTATTCATTTGTGTCTCTTTTTTATTATTATTTAAAGCTAAAAGTAGTGCGATGAGTATTAATTCCTCTTCCATATCCGAGACGTGTGCCTAGCCCAAGAAACACGAGACCACTGATTTATGAGAATTTTTTAGATATGTGTGAGACAGCCTGCCGGAATTCAAATTATGAATTCCGACTCTGAATTCAGAGAGGCATTCCGGGATGTGTGAGTCCAGCCTAAGTATTGATATATAGTCAGATACAAACCAGTAGAACCAAAAAGACTTTTCTTTAATTTTATACAAACAAAATACGATTAAACTTTTAACCGACCTTATATATACAATTTTATTTATTTATTTATCTCTCAAGTTAATGTGAAGTAGAAAAAAATATAATTTAAAATTTAAAATTTTGTTCAACCGACTTCAATATATATTATTAAGGATAACTCAAAAACTATTGGTCAGACCTTGATCAAATTTATATGGGACCACGTGAGAAGCACCAGCTTTCAAATAAAAAAAAACATGGAAATCGGTTCGGAATCGGATAAAGTTATGAGGTAACACACATTAAAAAACATACAGTCGAATTCAGTACCTCCTCCTTTTAGGCGTCGGTAGAAAAGACAGATTAGAAACTGACATCCACAAACCCCTAACTGTTTAGGAATAATTTGAAGGCAGTAGGAAATCAATAATAACAAAAAATATAACTAGTAAATATTAAATGTAGCTAACACCATGCAATCATTACAGCTGTTTATATAATTTTATGTGTTACTTTAAATACATAAACGAAGTTGGCAAGTTGATTTCCTACATTCCTACATTCGTTACTAGAAAACTATAAAAATGTAAGTACGAATAAAGGAACTATACATTTATATTACCATGACTTATTTGATTTTATTAATTCTTTAGTTTTCTTTATGGCTTAATGATTGTAGGTCAACTTGCCTAACCACGCAGTTACACCTACTTCACTCAAATCAATTGATTTTTACACAAACTGCAATCCTAACAAGGGTATTAGCGATTACTATGCGCGCACGGTAAGAATAGGAGTATCATTATCATTTTGTTACGAATTTCAGAATAACTTCCGAGTTTGTTGTGTACGATATGCAAAAATGATACTAGACATTTTGTTATGAAATTATTGCTATTTAAAAATACTGAATTGCACGCCTCATAACGCGAAGCGTTATTAGGTAGTGCTTTACTCTCGACAAGTCAAGGTCAAGCAATTTTGTGTTCATATTGCACTTATATGATAATATGAGTATCCGCATATCAAGAAAACACTATAATTAATCCATCTTATATTTTCTAAAAAATCATTTTATATTGCTACTTTGAGAAAAAACGGTTTCAATAAAATTTTACGTGAACGTCCGGATGTTGATTTTGTATGTGGTTACGATAACTCCCAAAAAAATGAACGTATCAAAAACGTTTTTTTTTTTATTGACTTCAGGATTACATCAACTAGTTCCCTATTTCATATCAATAGCCTAGGACACGTAGTTTTTTAATAAAATGATTTTCAACTTTTAAAAGTTTTATTGCTATTAAAAATTTACGGGCGCTTTTTTTGCCCTTGATAGACAAACGACAAATTTACCATACAGTCTATATCGATTTTATGCTTTGTGTAATCGATTTATTTTGGTAATTTATTTTCTTCATCAAAATTAAATGAAACGCTCAAAAGGCGTGTTACTTTTGGTTTTTCCAAACTATTTTGTGACTGCATTTATTACATCTATTATATACCTTTAAACAAATTAAATAATAATTTTAAAATGGCGACGTATACTCCATCGCTATTGCAGTTTAGAGAGTTAAGTATCAGTAAAGTAAATCATATCCTTATCCTGCGCGCATATTCAAAAAATCTCAAAACCCTCAACCCAACAGAAGTGATGATATTACAGGACATACCCAGAAAGGCGTCCACGTGAGCGGCGATTCCCTTCATTGCCTTGAGGAAGATTGAGGGGAGTGCCTGAAGGCACGGGTGGGTGCTGGGATCCCGAGCACCTTCTTCGGCGGTCATGGAGTACTTCGGAACAAGATTAATAGGTTACATATGGTACTGCCATTCCTCAACTGAATAGTGATTGTGCCTCGTAAATAGGTAATTTTTTTTAAAGATGTCAACGGTTATACAACATGTAACATAATTAACGCACATCCTGAAAGTAGTTTGTTCAGAATAGTTTACTGAATCGATTTCTATCATTTTAATATAGGTAATTTTTATGCCAAAAATAATTAAAACTACGTAAATTACAATCACACTAAACCCGTAAAATCAAAACAATTTGAAATGGACCGGAATAAACTAGAATACAAAATAAAGAAAAATGAACCTTATGTCAAGCACGTTAATCTTTACAAATACAGAGTTTGGAGTGCGTTGGATCGGTCGCGGCGGCCCTATCCATTGACCTCCCAAATCAGCTGATTTTGACGCCTCTTGACTTTTTTTTTTGTGGGGACGTATTAAATCATTAGTTTATTTTAGTGAGACAACAAGTGCCGAGGACCTAAAAATAGGATAGTGAACGCTTTTAGAATAGTAAAAAGTGACACTGCATTGCTTTCTAAATTAAAATATAAATTAAGAAAACGGTCATTGTGTACAAGTGTATTAAAAACAACGTGCATGAGAGTTTAGGCTACCAGTAAGTTAAATATGCGATTCTTTAAATTACAATAATCTTGATTTACATTCTTTAAACCCGCCGTCTTTGAATTATGTTGTCGTATCGCCTCTTATTTTAGCAGTTCATTATTATTTACAATTACAATTAAAATGTTATGCAAATTCATAACATTTTGTAACGAATATTGTCTACTGACATTGTATCATAATCAATAAACAAAATTATTTAGAGTCGACAGTCCAAAGCCTGAAAAGTGTGATGGAAAGATGCAATTAAATGTTTACTAGACTTAAATAAATAAGCAACTCGATGCTCGGAGTTATGACAGCTATTAATTTTCATAGGTAGGTATTTCTTTAACGTAAACAATCGTGTATTGTCGGCTTTTTTCAGCACTAATATCTACCTACAGTTGTGTCAAGCGGCGGCGGTGTTAACTCGTCTCAAACGCGAGCAAATACCTACTAGCCTAGCAAGACCCTCATATGACCTATACCTACGTGTCCAATTGTGTGCGTTCGTGAATTTGTACTGTGACTACAACTTTCTTCCGGAATTAGAATAACTAATTTAATAAATAGTCAATGCATAAACATGTTTAGTAAGAAGTTAATGTATGTATTATGATTATAACATTGTATACTAATTGGGATGTCTGATAATGTGCGTTAATTATGTTAGATAATGTATATTGATTTTTCATCTTCACGGTGAATATAATAATACCAATTGTATAAATATCAGATGAACTTCTATATCAGCAAGACTTACCTGCAAAAACTCTGGCGTTTGACTGATAATGTGTGGTCGACAAAGATCCACGGGGTTCCCGATGGTGTGCAGTATTCGGTACCAAGTTTGCATAACCGCTTCGGCGCTCATGTCTGCCGGCACTAGGTTCGCATCTTCTTCGCCTAGTTTAAAGCAACAAAAAATTAATTGATTAAAAAAACGGCGTAAGAAAATCCGAATACCATTTCATCCCTATGGTTTCCGATAGTTGGCGGTGTAACCATCTCGTCTACGCCAGACGTAAAATACACAGAGCAGCGACGGGCGGCAACGTCAAAGGCGCAAGAAGTCTGGTAGTACGATCATTAATCCGCCTGCTAAGCGTGACAATTAAAGCCAATTCTCCTTCACTACCACGGACCACGAACCACGTCCAGCAGTGGACTACGGGCTCCTGAAGAAGAAGAAGAATAATAAGGTTATAAGGTATGCGAGTTATAAGGTAACACACATAAAAAAAAAATACAGTCGAATTGAGTACCGTCTCCCTTTTGGAAATCGGCTGAAAACAACGTTTTATACGTAGTAGAACCACGCTACAGTTATATTATGGTTGTAGCACGAATAGGTCGGCTTGACCGCGGTGGGACCACGCTCTCATAGAATACCAGCGTAAAATCATAAAAGCTACATTATTTAGCGGCACGGTGCCGTGCGTGTGCTGCGTGTGCGTGCGACTCACCGACGGGCATGGCGGGGAACAGCGGTCCGTACATGTGCGCGAGCAGGCGCGCGGTGAGGCAGAGCGAGGCGCGCGCCCACTGCTCGGTGAGCGGCGCGGTGCCGTGCGTGTGCTGCGTGTGCGTGCGACTCACCGACGGGCATGGCGGGGAACAGCGGTCCGTACATGTGCGCGAGCAGGCGCGCGGTGAGGCAGAGCGAGGCGCGCGCCCACTGCTCGGTGAGCGGCGCGGTGCCGTGCGTGTGCTGCGTGTGCGTGCGACTCACCGACGGGCATGGCGGGGAACAGCGGTCCGTACATGTGCGCGAGCAGGCGCGCGGTGAGGCAGAGCGAGGCGCGCGCCCACTGCTCGGTGAGAGGCGCGCGGTGCCGCCAGCGCACGCACTGCTCACGCAGCGTGCGCCACAGCGCCGGCGATGGGAAGCACCTGCAAAGGTATTTTATTGGTCATATTTTAAAAATTTTAGTGTTCCCCTACTGTTGGATTTCTCCTGTGTCTAGAGGCGTTTTACAAACAAACATTGCTATGCAAACATCGAGACCGCCACCACATGCTGAACTACAGCAATAACAACCTATAACTTCAACAACTTCGCAGTGTATATCATATGTAATAGTGTGGCAAACGAGCACACAATTCATCTGATGGTAAATTGATACTGTGGCTCATAGCTATCTACATCTATCATCGATTATGAATCGAAATTCAGATCCGTTGTCACCCCTGAGGACTGAAGTGGAATGCCTCGTTTCCAGTAAAAAGGGTCTCCGGTTCTCTACACTCACCGTACGAACACAGCAGCGTTAAGCTGCTACTTTACGCTGGTATTATGTGAGAGCGTCGTCCTTCCCCGGTCGAGCCGACCCATTCATGCTACAACTATACTATTACTAATATATGTAACTGCAGTATGACTCTACCACGTACAAGACTTCATAGTTGTATTACTTATTCATACCAGCCTAACTTACACCCGACGTAACGTAACATGAAGAAAATTGCAACAAAGAAACCCACAAAATATTGAATTTAGCTGGAAACTAAGGAAGCGACCTAAGTACTATGGCCACTTGGCTATACAGAATAGGGCCCACATATATTCAATAAATGAAACCACATACTTGTTATCGCCTTTGCTGACGATATACAAAAAATGAACGTAATCGGTCCAGTAATTAGGTCAAAAAGTAGAGTTTTAATTTTAAGAAACTTTGAACTCTCTATAGAATTGGGTCACTAAGTCAATGATACAATGAACTTGAATCCTTGAACATTAAAAAACGACATTGCTACGCAGTGCAAACTATTACGGCGTTTCAACAGCGGTGTCTTTTGGTGGCGCCCATAAACAAGCGGCACGAGGCACGCGGCGTTCTTCAAAGGCAACGGCGCAAGTGCGCGCGCTTGTGTCATAGAGTAGGACACCTGTTATCGACCATTAGCTTCTTTCAAAGGAAGTAATGATCGATAGACAAAAACTCTTTCTAGCTTTTTTGTTTAAGTGTGTTCTTGTAGATTTAGAGATAATAAATTATTTTGACATGTTAAAAAACCCATAAAAACAACCAATTAAAAAAGTCATACTTACCCGTTTCCTAGGAAGTCATAAAAGGGTAGTTTCGTAAGTTCAATTGTACAAAAATAAGCTTTCTTTTTTAACAATCAATAACTTGTCAATTGTTATCAAATCAAAAATCAAAATTACTTGTATTCAAATGTCTTGTAGTACGTAAGTGGAAAAAGAAAAGAATCGATAAACGATAACTGCACCTTGTGCCCGCCCTATTTATTACTTTTATTATTTTCGCCATTTTGTAATTTGGAAGTTTAGCTTTCAGTTCACCGCGATTCTTCTAGAATACGGGTGCGTTTCGCTGCTTACGCGCATTGCTTCAAGTGATTTATTTTACGTAAGATAAATACAATTAGTCAAACAATTTTTTACGGTGAAATGGACACTTATTAGGTAATTGACTTTGTGCGTGTAAATAGTGTTTTTAAGTACGTTAATTTTTATTATTTTTTCAGTGATATTGACACTACTTGACTTTTGTGTGTACATGTTGGCAGCGGGAAATGCCAAGACAACAGCATTTTTACAGTGCGGCAGAGTATACAGACATGGTTTTATTGTATGGCGAATGCCGCCAAAATTCAGCGTTAACTCTGCGTACTTATCGTGAGAGATACGGCGCAACTCGCGTCTGCCCTACTAGCGTCCGGAAAATCCTAGGTGCTGTCCAAAGAATCAGGAAAAATCAGCGCATAGTGCCCAACACTCGTGAAGGAGTTGCTCCGCGTCACTTTCCACCCTCGTTCGAACAACGAGTCTTAGACAATTTCGATCGAAATGCAACCTGCAGCCTGGGCGTGTGTTTAGAGTGAGGCATAGAACAATACATTAAGTGCTGAAAAGGAACAAACTACGTCCTTATAAATATTTTTTTTTTTTTATAGGATAAGGGTGACAAACGAGCACACAGTCCACCTGGTGGTAAGTGGTCGCTGTGGCCCATAGACATCTACATCTATCTTCGATTAAGAGTCAAAATGCAGATGCGTTGTCACCCGTGAGGACTAAGATGGAATGCCTCGTTTCCAGTAAAAAGGGTCTCCGGTTCTCTACACTCACCATACGAAACACAGCAGCGTTAAACTGCTATTTTACGCTGGTATTCTGTGAGAGCGTGGTCCTTCCCCGGTCGAGCCGACCCATTCGTGCTACAACCATAATATAGATGCAGCATGGCTCTACCACGTATAAATATGCTAAGGTGCAGGCGCTGCTGCCCCGTGATAGGCCGATTAGAGAATCTTACTGCCACTAGATACTGGAAAAAATGTCTCAAGACCAACGTTTCCTATCAAATGTGTTTTAGACAGATGAAAGCACGTTTACTCGAAACGGCATATATAACGGAACCAACTAATCATGCGTCACTGGAGCCATACGAATCCCCATTAATTTAGGCCCTAAATTTTAGGGAATCAGCTCATCAATACCGATTTTCCATTAATGTTTAGGCAGGCATTCACGGAGATCAAATAATCGGCCCTGTTTTTATTGACGGAAACCTGAAGATGTTTCTCAATATTCTTAACGGCTCAATAACAAAATATTTAGAAGGATTTTCTGTGGCAGCTTACGAGCGGGTATGGTTCCAGTTACATGGAGCTCCTCCACAATCCATACTCGGCGCGAGAGAGCGGCTTAACACCATGTTCGGCGAACAATGGAGCGCTAGGGCGCTATGCCCTCGCAGGTGGGCAGCTCGGTTGCCCGACCTCACTTCTCTACACTTCTTTTTATGAGGATTTATTAAAAATGAGGTGTACTCAAAGATCTCCGGAATCGAAGATGAACTGCACAATCGTATTGTTACCGCCTTTGACAAATTAAAAGCCCTGGCTTTGGATCCTGAAAGAATTTTTTTGAGCAGGCTTCAGGACAACATTATGCGGCGATGTAACTTGTGCATTCAAGAACGTGGCGGACATTTTGAAAATTTTAAAATTTAGGGTTCCATTAAATTTTGCAACTAATATGCAATAATATTTATTTTTTTCAGTTCCATTTTCGCGAAATAAAAAAGTGGCGGTAAAAATACGTAAACAGTTTAGTAAGTAAGTTTTTATTTCGTCGCACATTGTCAAACGAACCAAAGGCCGTGCCGACAATAACGCTGCCTGCCGCCAATCGCCATGCCACCCGCGTGCAACGTTGCTACTCTTCCAAGGGGTCAAGGTACGTAGTCTAAACAGAGTGTTTACTTTTACTGAATTTATTTTAACATTTATTTTGATTGAATATTTCTCTTTTTTTATTTTACGGGTTTTAATTTAATATTTAATTTTTTTACACTTCTATAGACTAGTATTACTTGTTGTTTCATTTATTGCATATAATGTGGATTCCTTACTATATATTCTTTCTTTTAAAAAACATTTGAAAAATATTAACGTTATTACTATCGTTACATCAAATCGTAGTTTTCTATCCAATTTCGACTTCAGTAGTTTTTGACATCAGTGGACACAACAAAGGAGATGTATGAAATTGGGTGCTTGACATCGTTCGTAACAGTTATACAAAAATATGTAGGTAATATAACGATAAATTATAAGCATAATTAAATGGTTTTTATTTGTGTAATGTATGGGACAATCACAAAAACATTTTTTTAAACTGAAAAAGGAAAGCTAATGCTTTTACCACAGCAAAAACAAAACGTTTTGAAATATTTTTATGTATTCTGTCTATGGCATTAGATAATGAAGGCTATTTTTTGTAATAAATAGCCTTCAGTATAAAAAAAAGCTCATAATATTGAAACATTGAGGTGAATCTGTAGAGACTAATACTGAATAAAGTAAATCTATTTAGAAAATCAAATGAATAGGCTACGTTATTAAACTAAACAAAATATTTGAATAATATCGGACACAATTGAATAGGCTGTATGATCGTTGATCATTGCTTGTTTCGAAGGAGACTTGGTAACTTTGAGTTTAAACTTGTCATGCGATTTGGCATTGTGGTTGTATTTGTGGATATATTTCGTGTTTCTATTTTCGTGAATTAATTTAACTTGACCCTTGGCTTTTCCCTCCATTTACAGGACAGTAGGTTGTTGCGCCCACATAATGACAATAATGTGTTACTTGTGTTTTTAGAGGAATAGAATAAACAATGTATATATAATATAGATTCAGGCTCCTTTTCTAGGTGACATTTTATTAATAATTGCATAAAATAATTAAACAATCAGAAAAGTTTGAGTTGTATTTTATTTTATTTAATAATAACTAAAAACGGCATCCTTTTGTGTTCTTTTTAATTTATTGAAACAACTTATCCCAAGAACGAGTGATTTTACTACATAACCTACAAATAATAAAACAAAAGGAAAACAAAACCCCAGTCCCTATAAAAATATGATTTTTTGTCATAAGTAACAAATGTTTAAATCTTCAAAATAAGATATATTTGAACTATGTTAACGTCGGGCCCAAGCTTGTATGGAACGAAGTTTCCTTTCATAGACATCATAGACATTTGAATTCCATTCCATTAGCATTTCCATATTTTGTAAGTTTCGATACTGTTTTTAAAGGAAACAACAGTTTTCAGCATTGCACACAATTGGTCCTTCGAGGCGAACGCACAGTAGGTACCTGTGGCAGGCGAGGATCCAGACCTCGAAGAGCACGCAGAGCACGCGCTCGCAGAGCTGGTCGGCGGCGCCGTGGTGCGGCGCGGGCGGCGCCAGCAGCGCGGCGGCGGCGGCCAGCAGCAGCAGCAGCAGCGCGCGCCACTCGCGCCCGCCCAGCGCGCCGCCCTCCGCCAGCGCGCGCGCCAGCCGCAGCACGCGGTGGCACAGCACCGCCTGCTTGCTGATCAAGTCCGCGCCTGCAACCGTTAACCTCATCATATTCTGTATAAAAAATAATACGTGTGCTGTTCCCACGCGCTACGTAAGTAAACCTTCAGTGAAATTAAATACAAAATAATAATAATTAAAAGCTTTTCTTGTAATAAAATGTTTTTATGTATTTTTTCTTTCGAGGAAGATGCTTACTATTTTCTGCCTTAATATTCAGCATGCTTAATGCTATAAACAAACAAAGAACACTTGCTTATTGTTTCACAACAATGGATGCAAGTCCATTACGGAAACTATTCGTTGCTACCTTTATTAACGATCACGCTTGCAAATTTTTTCAGCAAATACGCCTCTGGTAACGTATGATAAATTCAAAAACATTTTAATTATAAGATTTTTGTCTTAAATATTTTACCAGTTGTATTTATTTTTTGCTATATAAGTAAGAGTGTTCATTATTATAGCTATATACATGAGCGGCGCTATGGAGCCGCGGGCATTATATACAAATATCCGTATTAATATATAAATAAACTATTGGTAAATCCAACTGAGCAACTTAAAAAAAATTACGTATAGCATGATTATACGGATTTTTTAAAAGTAGTTTAAATACACACAAGTTTTCACTAATAACCTTATTATACTTCCAATTTTCCGATAATTCTAGCACAAGGCTTTCGGTGTTTTAGCAGCCTTGTGTTAGAAATTATTTCAGTAAATAGAGACTGCCTGTGCCTCACTCGCTTAGTTTGGCGTCAAGCGCCGTTGTGAGTGGATACTGTATCGGTTGTTTGCAGCGGCTCAAAAAGATCGCTGTACAAATAAATACAAAATATTCGAAAAACAAATTTCATACATACTTGATTATTATAATAATCAGAGATTTTTATTACAATATTTTAAAAACAGAGAATAAATAATAGTAGTGCGTACATGAATATATGTGTGTGTGTGTGTGTGTGTGTGTGTGTGTGTGTGTGTGTGTGTGTGTGTGTGTTTGTATTTCTTTTGTGTCGCTTTTTCGTTTCATCGAGTTTCAAATCACGATGCGATTCTAAAAAGTTTTCAATTCAAAAAAATATACAATTATTGTATACTTTAAATACTTTATTAAACAAAAACTGTATAATATAAATGAATACAAGGTTGATAATAACTCCTGGGAATGAAGTGGTCGCTTCCAAGCTGTTTCTAAAAAATATTTTGTAAATAGTTTGTACAACCTTTTTTATTGTGTAATTTACTTTGAAAAAAAAGTCCTCCTGTCTTTCTTGATGGTTCTTCTAAGGATAGAAGTTTTTTTTTCGAACCAGTGGTACAATTAATAAAATTACAATTGCTTGTTGGAGCCATCGCACGGTCTCACGTTAACACTATCCAATTTCGGGACAACTTAATTTATAAAACAAACACTGTGTACATAAAGCTATTTCTAATTTGTTGTGTTGTTAATGTGTGTAACATACATGATTGAGCTTGAGCTGAGCTGTTATTTAAAAGAAAAAGTCCCGCTGGGTTTCTTGCTGGTTCTTCCCAGGACAGAGGTTTTTTTCCGAACCAGTGGTAATTAAACAAAAGAGTGACTTTCAATAAGTGTTATTTATAATCTATATTGAATTAAAAAGTTTCTGTTTCTGTTTCATATTTGAAATTAAAAATTAAAGAAATTAAAAAGCAATTGAATTAAATATGTTAACACTAGAAAAAATATCAATGTAAGAGCTTATAATGCAATGGTACAAAGCTAACAAGTTTATGTTCAGAACATTTGTAGGAAAAGGTTACGAAGCGTTTTTTCAGCTGGCTAGGCTAGCTACTCTACTATATTAATGTTAACCACATGTATTGAGGAACATGAAACTACAACAGATTATCAGAGACCATTAAATTTTTTGCTGATTATAAATTGTTCTTCTTAAGAAGAATTTGTCGTTAGCCCATACCCTTGACACAATTACTCTACGTCGTTGATTTAAATGTTGTAGGTCTGACAATTTTCAGATTATTTTCAGCTATCCTATTTAACGGAATATTTCTTTTCATAAGGTGAATTCTTATATTTTTCTATAAGCTTAACTTACCTAAGTCCATTTGATAGATGAATGTGAGAGCTTGTAAAGTTATACATGAATTTTAGTAAAATTTATTATTAATATAAAAGTATTTTATCAAATTTGATTAATAATTTATGTAATGTATAGTAAGCTATACACAACATTGAATTAATCTATCATATTATCATTTAAATACAGTCTCAGATTATGCTGTCATCATAAAATCTGTTGGGTAAGTCAAATTGACTTTCTGTTATCGTTAACTTTAATAGAAAACTATAAAAATGAATGTAATAACGATAGGTCAAAAAATGTTGAGAAATATGTCAATCCTCTTCGTTTTTAGTTTTCTGTCAGCGTTAAAGATTGTTAACTTGGCTAACCTCGACCTGTTTTTTGAGAATGAGTGAGAATGAATGAATGAGCACTTGCACATTTTATTTCGTTTTGTTCCGTAGTTTGAGGACAACTTAAATTTCGATGTGTATAATTTCTACAATAAGCAAAGCGATTTATAAAGATTTAATTTAACGTTGGTTCTTCAAGCCGGATAAAAAGCGCGTTAGGAGATCCTACGAAGATTCGTATATTAAGGTGATTAGTATCCTATACTAGTTTTGAAGGTGTGTCGCCAATGTGAATGGTATATAGCATGAGTCAATATAAATTGTTGCAATAAGATTTTTGGACATTCAGTAGAATGTTAAAAAAATTCTGTCATCTTGAAGTTCTCGTGCAGTAAAAAAAGCTCTACAATTTATGTTTTTGTCAATGAATGGTTGACTCCAGTATTTTTGGTTTTCTTTTTGCTTATGACATCTGTTTTTAAAACAGTTAAACTGCACGTACTCCTACGTTATAAGAATCACTCGACATAGTGACGGAATTAAAATCATCTTTTTTAGAGCAATGTCTTACGAAATTATAAAATTTTGTTTATTTTAAGTAGCACAATACTACAAACTTCAAATAGCTAATAAGAATTCCACTGGTATCAGATCCAAATTGTTCCTATTATCGTAACGTATGTAGAGCTTTAAATAACAAACAGTTTGCACGAACCGTCGCCGGGCCTCGGCACGAAGAGATTGTGTAAGTGGCTGAGTATATTGTATGTTGCTAGTGTCATAAAGTATTAAAAAACAAGGGCAAAGGGCTTGCACTCAGTCGTGTGGCCTGGGCACGAAGAGGTTGTGCAGGTGGCTGAGTATATCGTCTGTTGGTAGGTGATTGCACTCACTGTCGTCGGGCCTGGGCACGAAGAGGTTGTGCAGGTGGCTGAGTATATCGTCTGTTGGTAGGTGATTGCACTCACTGTCGTCGGGCCTGGGCACGAAGAGGTTGTGCAGGTGGCTGAGTATATCGTCTGTTGGTAGGTGATTGCACTCACTGTCGTCGGGCCTGGGCACGAAGAGGTTGTGCAGGTGGCTGAGTATATCGTCTGTTGGTAGGTGATTGCACTCACTGTCGTCGGGCCTGGGCACGAAGAGGTTGTGCAGGTGGCTGAGGATGCGCGCGGCGTAGCGGTGCGGGTCGGCCTGCAGCGGCGGCGGCACGGCGGGCGGCGGCGGCATGGGCGCGGGCGCGGGCGGCAGCAGCGCGCCCAGCCACGCGCAGCACACGCGCACGCACGCGCGCAGCGCCTCGTGCTCGCCCAGCGGCAGCGCCAGCCCGTACCGCACCACCTCCAGCACCCACTCCACCTGCACCAACCGCCCCCTTTACGCTGCCCGTACACGCTACGGTCTACCAGAGAGGCTTACGTGTGCACGTGTGCATGCGCAACTATACCGGAACGAATATTGGAATAAACCTGTCTTATTTTTAATCCTGCATAGGCAACAGACGCAAGTTTGAATATTAATTATTTGCCTGCACAGGCAAACCTTATCTTAAAACCGTAACGTATGGTTTACATTAAACATCATCAACACACATCTAACCGGATTGCCATGTGGAAACTTAAAAGAATCAATCAGCCCATTTCGCCGGATCTATAGCTCACTAGTTCATATCTGGCTCGAAGGACCACTGAGAATAACTCCTCATCAATCACTAGGTTGTCCATTTCCGCCTAGAAATCTGTCTAAGAAGAACCACATTGGCAGAATGACATTATCGCACATGTGATAGCAACTGATTTGTAGCTGGTGTATATGAGAACATGGGAAAAAATAAAACATAGACTACAGTACAGAAACGGACAATACTCCTGCTAAACTTGCCCCAGCATAGGCCCACCCCCTGCTCAGCTATAAACAAGTGTTGTAATGATAAAAGAGTCATAGAAATGACACGCAAGTAATTCAAGTACATAGGGGAAAGGTACATACTTTTTTTAAATGTCCTGTTGACTAATAGATTAGGTTCTGAGAACCAACTAGTTGCCAAAATTCCATGCCAAACCAAAATCTTACAGACTAGTGACTGAAAGCAGTATTGTAAGGTTCTTAGCTCCGTGCCAACCAATGCTTAATATATGTACAAATGTTTGAATAGGCCCATATATTACATAATAAGGCTGAAGATGAGCCATGAATGAGCCAAGTATTATATATTACTAATCTTTTCTTACTGTTACTGTTATTTTTTTACAAAAAACCCAATGAATGAATATAAGAAGGGTGACAAACAAGCACACAGTCTACTTGACGGTAAGTTGATGCTATGACCCATAGACATTTAAATACCCCACCTTAATCCCTCAATATCATTAAAAAGAATCTCTAGTTCCATCACACAAAACACAACAGTATTATGCTCCTAGCTCACGCTGCTACCTTGAGTGAGCGTGGGCTTTTCCAGGTCCAGCGGACTAATTCATACTGCAGTCATGCAACTTGCTAGATTGTGTTATACAAGAAAACATTGTATATATATTGAAAATATCTTTTTTGTTAAATAAGTCTTTTTTTGTATGATATGCAGATGTATATTTCTTGCAATTCAAAAAGTCGAGCGGGAATTACTAGTGATTGAACGTATGCAAGCACATTGCGATAGTGAGATCATCTGATGGAGCTGACGTAACGCTAGCCATACCCGCTTTTGGTCTCACGCATATTTTGACACATATATGTACTTGACTTCGTGTACATGTGATTCGGATTGCAAGAACTATAGCTAGACACAGTAATATTTTTCAACCTTTTTTGTTTATATACATAAAGTTATTAATATTTTATTGTTTATATGTGATAGTTACCCACCTCCGTATCGGTAGTGAGTGGGCTGGGCTGATGTGAGGCCAGTTGCTTGACAACTGCCAGCACTACATCGCGTCCTCCAACTGCACCCAACACCCCGTGTCCACCACCTTCCAAGGGCAGCGACGTCCATTCTGAATACATGCCGTCACTGTCCTTGCTCTGTGGAAGAAATGCCTAAGTTAAAGTGCCTTTTTCAAAATAAAACTACCATTATTTTTCACTTTATATTACAATAATCACCTCAGTTCCTAAACTTTATTCCCTATTATCTTATACCCTGTATCTCCAACCATACTTCATTATTCAATGACAGTTCATAGCTTTAATCATCATCATTACAGCCATACACAAGTTTATAGCTGAACATAGGTCTCCCCCAAGGAATGCCACAAAGCACCTTTATGAGCCACCTGCATCCCTCGACTTCCTGCATGTCTTACCAGGTTGTCACACCATCTAGTGGAGGAACGGCCTACACTTCGCCTGCCGGTACAAGGCTGCCACTCGAGAACCTTAGTTCCGCATCAGTTCTTAATTTTTCGAGCTATATGGCCGCCCCATTGCCACTTCACTTACTAGTCCGTTGGACTATATCGGTTATCTGGTTCTACTGAAGATATAGTCCTCTCCATAGCTCGCTGAGCGACCTTGAGCTTCCTCATATATTTAGAAGTGAAGAACTACGTCTCAGATCCATAGGTTATCACTGGCTACGCACTGGTTGTACAACCTTATTTTGAAGTTTCGAGGTATGCCTGACAAGAAGATGTGTCGTAATCTCCCCAACGCTGCCCAGCCGAGTTGAATCTGTCGATTGCCCTCTCGGTCGAAGTTGGACTATTTGTCCTGGGAAACTCGTCAACATCTTCGAGCTTAGTGCTCCCAACAACTACCGGCATAGATGTGACATGGATGTTACACATGACTTTTGTTTTGTCCATGTTCATCTTAAGACCTATCCGTTGGGAGACACTATTGAGGTCGAAGAGCCGATCGGAAAGGACTCGGTCGTCGACGATTCGAGCCGCTCTGCGCTGGATGCGGTCAAGTGGAAGGAGCTGGCACTGGGGAGCACCTGCCCAGAAATGGAAACAGTATTCCATGTGAGGCCGAACCTGCGCCTTGTAAAGTTGTAGGCGGTGTACCGGCATCAAATACTGTCCCGCTCTGCTGAGCACGCCAAGCTTTTTAGAGGCCAATTTGGCCTTCTCTTCAAAGTGACCACGAAACTGCACGTCACTCGATATGTCGACTCCGAGGATTCTGATACTGGCTGAGGCAAGAAGGGCCTTGAAAGTGAGGAGATACGACAAAGGGGTTCTTTTTAGCGATAAACGCGCAAACTTGTGTCTTCTGAGGATTAAACTGGACTAGATTTAGTCGCCCCCAATCCGAGACTTTGTTCAGCAAAGACTCGACTTCAGACACAAGTTTGTTCCGGTACTCGGTGACGTTTTCCCGAGAAATATTGGCACGGCCGGTGTATAGAGCATCACCAGTGCTGTTATCCGCATAGCAATGAATGTTACCAGTTATAAACATATCATTGATATGCAGAAGAAACAGCGTTGGTGATAGCACACAGCCTTGTGGAACACCAGCGTTAATAGGCTTGTCGTCGGAGCATGCACCGTCTACAACGACCTTGATGCTCCGATCTGCAAGGAATCTGGTGATCCAATAGCACAATTTCCGGGAAGCCCATAGGAAGGGAGCTTCGAAAGAAGCGCTTTGTGCCAAACCCGATCGAAAGCCTTCGCAATGTCCAAACTAACGGCCAACGCCTCCCTCTTGGACTCTACTGCCTCTGCCCATCAATGGGTCAGGTAGACCAGAAGATCAAGAGCTGATCGACCCCGACGAAAACCGTATTGGCGGTCACTAATCAGCTGGTGATCCTCAAGGTACCGCATGAGCTGGCAGTTAATAATTGATTCCATTATTTTGGAGAACAAGGAGGTGATCGCGATAGGCCTATAGTTGGACGGGTCTGAGCGGTCGCCTTTTTTAGGGATCGGGTGGAAAACAAAGACAAAAGCTGTCTTCCATGAATTCGGGACTACGCCTTGGGAGTAGGAGTACCGGAAAAGACGCGTTAGGACCGGTGCCAACTTCGGAGCACACGTCCTCAGCACAATTGGGGGGATTCCGTCAGGCCCACTCGACTTCTGGATGTCCAGGGAGAGGAGTGCTTTGCGAACCGAGCGCTGTGAGAACAGCACATCCGGCATGGAGCACTCACACCGCGGGATGGTCGGCGGTGTTTTCCCCCCGTCATCAAGAGTCGAGTTGGACGCAAAAAGGAGCCTAAAAGGTCGGCTTTGTCTTTTGCGGCTTGGGCCAGTGAGTCGTCCTCCCTGTGCAGAGATGGTAGTAATGGCTTACAGAAATTTCCTTGGGCAGCCTTGGCGAGAGACCAGAATGCACGGGTTCCCGAAGGAAGGCGAACTAGTTTCTCGCCAATTCTAACTACGTGCTCTGACTTTGCCTTGGCAATAACTCTTTTGAAGAACCTGGAGGCGAAGTTATACTTCTTTTTAAGTGTGCTGGTGTTTTACATCCCGAGTAGCCGAAGCCGCAGCCCAGGCTTGATAACACTCCTGCTTACTGCGTAATGCAGCCTTACAGGAGCGACCAAACCAAGGCTGAGATCTACCTCCGATGGGTACCACAGATGATGGAATAAATAGTTCCATTCCCTGTAGCACCACATCAGTGACAGAATCAGCAACAGCGCTGGGATCATCCGGCGAGAAGCAAACCCGCGTCCATGGGTAGGATGCAAAGCAAGACCGCATTCCGTCCCAATCCGCCCACCTGTAATGCCAAACACGGCGGCAACCTGCAGAACGCAACCGCGAGGGGAGCGTGAGTGGCACCACACTCCGGATCAGACAATGGTCCGAAGAGCCGAGAGGAGCATCGACGGAAACCTGATATCCGTCCGGATGAGAGGTCAGCAGAAGGTCCAACAGGGAAGGTGTATGATCCTCCACATCTGGAATCCGCGTAGGCGAAGTAACCAGTTGTGTCAGAGCATATGCCAAAGCAAAGTCAGCATGATCGGTTAAACGTGAACCGAGCCATTCGGCGTGGTGGGCGTTAAAATCGCCAAGGATCACGATCTCTGCGGATGGAACCTGTTGTAGCAAGGAATCTGTAGCCATTTGGACGTGGTCAATGAGTCGGTCTGTTTCGGCATTACCGCTATGGGACCTATATAGGCACCCGTAGACGCGCGGATAGTCGTCGCAGTCTACGCGTAGCCATAGGATGGACAGGTCCGAACCTTCAAGACTGCCGAGGCGTCGAGAACAGATGTCCTCTCTGACATACACGCAAACTCCAGCCCGAGGCACAAAGGAGTGCTCCAATTTGTACCCCGGGTAGGAGAGATACGATATATCAGCCGGAGAGGAAACCTGCGTCTCGGTCAGAAAGAGCAAGGCCGGCTTCGCCGTCTCGAGACGGTAGTGGAGGGCGTTTAGGTTCGATTGAAGTCCCCTGATGTTGCAGAAATTCACGAATAGCGTGGCAGGGGTCGCCTTGGTCTTGTTGTTCAGTTTGCCCTGAGCAGTTATGTTTTTGCGCGGAATTTTGCCCCCCCCCCCCCCCCAGAATACGCGGGCAGCCTGAGCACCCACGCTCAGGAGTGGAATAACATGGTCGTGGATGCTCAGCGAGGGATTCTCCAGGGGTGCTGGTACCCTCCTGGGGTAGTCTAACGTGCAATTCCGCTACCATGTTGATGGGGGGGGCATTGGGCCTCCGGCCACCTGCACTCACCAGACGAAACGCAGAAGCAGAGCTTCTACTTCACGCCGGTATTCTGTGAGGTCGTGGTACCAACCCGGCTCGAGCCGGCCCATCCGTGCGATAGCAGAAGCTGCCGCGTGGCTCTACCACTGTTATACCACTGTTATAATGTTCTGTTCGTTGTTGTAATTCTTCTAGTGCAGGCAAGGCGGATTGGTGTTGCTGAGAGGCTACCACCGTTAAAAAGATGAAAAAGGACCAATGTAGCAATTATTTCTTTTAGTATTTTTTGTTTTCATACATTACCTGTGGCTGTTGCAAGAGGCAACAGAGGCAAACCAAAACAGGAGATAGGCACCAGCATATTTGTCATAACTACTCAATCTAATAAAAACCAGCCTGCCAAGCATGACAACTATGGCACATATCCCCTCGTTAAGGCAAACTATGAGAGAGGCTTATGTTCAGCAGAAGTCTTTGATAGCCTGTAATATTGATTTAAAAAAAATCATGAAAATATGATTCTATGTACATACATATGTAAATAAAATTAAGGTCTGTAATATCAAAATAACTGCAGTTTTTAGAACTGCCTCTCAGTTCTAAAAAGTTATTTGCATGGCATTGCAAATGGCCGTTTTTAAAATTTCTGTCTGTCTGTCTGGGCTAATCTTCGCAACGGTTGAACCAATTGTAAAGAAACTTGACAAGCAAGTAGAGAGCAAAGCCATGAGTGATATAGGCTACACTTTATCTGAAAAACTTAAAGACTTTTTTTGATAAATTAAATAATTAAAAATTTTGTACAACCAACTTCAATATAAATTATTATGAATAACTCAGAAACTAGTGGTCAGACCTTGATAAAATTTATATGGGGCCACATGAGAAACACCAGCTTTCAAATAAAAAAAGAATCATAGAAATCGGTTTCACAGAAAAAAACATAAGGTAACACAAATAAAAAAACAGTCAAATTGAGTACCATCTTTTTTTTTTTTTGAAAACGGTAGAAAATTGATATAATGACTGGGCTTTGATGAATATTTTAAATCTAAATTATGCCACATTAATAGAGCTCAACTAGGTAATAAGCTGGGGTCGCTAGTATTTAAGATTTTTTCTATTATTGTTACCATAACTAAAATGTGGCAATCTTTGGGAGAGACCTATGTTCAGAAGTGGACTTTTATAGGCTGTGATGGATGGATATTTTTTATAGAATAAGTGACAAGCGAGCACACAGTCCACCTGATAGTAAATGGATACTGTGGCCCATAGACATCTACATTTATCCTAAATTAAGAATCAAAATACAGATGCATTGTCACAGCTGTGGACTACGATGGAATGCCTCGTTTCCAATAAAAAGGGTCACCCGTTATCTACACTCACCATACGAAACACAGCAGCCTTAAGCTGCTATTTCACACTGGTAGTGATCCTACCCCAGTCGAGTTGGCCCATTTGTGCTACAATTAATATAGCTGCAGCATAGCTTGTATGAATGGAACTAAAAGAAATAATTTACAATTATATAACCTCAATAATAACATTTAATTATTAAATTCCATAATTTATTTTGGCTCCATGTAAGAAAATGTATTGCTTCATGTAAGAAAAGTGCTGGTAGATTTTTACGGCACGGTTCTTTGAATGATGTGATCTCAACGACTCTTGTCTCTATAAATGTTCCCTCGGTTTTAAAGCCTTGTGGAATATTTAGAGATGATGGCAAGAGACCGGAGGGTATAACATTATTCCCTTGTGTGTGAGATAAAGCCCTAGTGTGGGATGCTACTTGCGTAGACACTCTGGCGGCCTCTCATCTCAGGGGTACCTCGTTTAGAGCCGGGGCGGCATCAGAGGCAGCTGAACTAAGTATGTGACACAAATATGAGTCTGAGAGATGATTACATATTTGTGCTATTTGCTGTAGAGACTATTGGTCCATGGGGTCCACATGCGGTGAAGTTCCTACAGGAACTCCATCCGCGGCTGGTTGTTGCTGCTGGTGATAAGAGGGCTGGTTCTTTTCTCTCTCAAAGGCTAAGTATAGCCATTCAGCAGAGAAACACAACCAGCGTTCTTGGCATGACACCGCGGGGAGTAGGAGTGTATGATAATTAAGTTACTAGTTTTAGTTTTTTTTTTATTATAGTTTTCAATATTGTATATAATAAAATATTTTGTGTTATGTTATATAAATATAGGTATTTATTAAATACTTTTAAGATTCCAACACATTCACTATGAAAAGTATTAATTATTAATAATAATTGTGTTATCATCCTCTTCTATATAGACGCTTACAGGTCAAAAGTTTCACAAAAATTGTCCAAGGGTACCATAAATGTCATATTGTATGAATAGTAATGAAATTTATTTCGATATAACAGACACACTAATTTATTTATATGTATAGATGTACATATATAAGAAATACTGAAACATCTACATCAGCTGACACAATAACTCATTAAAAGTACATAACATTATTATCAAATATGTTAATTTTAGAAATTTGTGAATACTACATAAATATCAAAATATAATTTCATACCTTAAAATTGACTCTGTTGAAAATTCCCACATTCATAAATAGAAAATACCTAACGGTACCAGTCCGACGTAGCTAAAGATTTTACACAGCAAAGCAAAAGCACGTAAATAAGACAACTTATTACTGACCGGTGACTACAAAAAAATATATCAATTCTGCTTAGGTTTCCTATTTAATAAAATGTTTAGAAAATTTTGGAATGTAAATTGCATAAACATACATAAATAAATAATGAATATCAATAAACCATCAATAAACTAAATATATCTAATTCTAATACACAGAGTATCTTTTTATTTTTATACCAAGGATGTAGTATATTAGTAGCTATAGAGTATAGAACGTCAAATATATTATTCATTCATTCATTCATTCTATGATAATTTTTTTTAATAACTGGCTTTACGGCTCTGGGATCTAGCCGTTCTGAGCCTGAAGTTACAATATATTATAATTATCCTTCATAGTATACACAATATGTTGATGCGTCACATTGTGCAGCCCTAGGGAGATTTTGACGGTAACTTGAGCCAGCAGATAGCTGACGGTTGGCGATAGTATCTCAAGGCGCCTAAGCAGACAGACACCTTATTTTGAGAATCAGATCACCATCAGAGCACTTGTTTCACAGTTTCCACTAATAGATCACATACGCAGACACTTAATACTTTGTGTATTTATCGCACCACTTTCACATATCAAAGTCCACTTCAAACCATTATTTAAACAATAATACAGGAGCAGCAAACCGCCCCCGGTCAAGTTCCCGCCAAAACTCCATAGATAAATAAATATGTAGCAAGCCATAGACTTAGAATATACCTAATGGCTCGGCGAGCGCGCTCGGCCAACGTGTACTGGCCGAGCGCGCTCGCCGAGTGCACTCGGCCAACGTGTACTGGGCCGTTTTGTATATATTTGGCGTTTGCGGCCAACGCTCGCCGACGAGCCGTATAGTATCGGTTTTCCGTGCACAATCAAAGGAATTTGGCGCAAGCCGCAAACAGTGTTCACACGTTGGCCGAGTGTTCAGTTCATAATTACGCGTCGGAGTAGACTGTAGACTGTCGGCTTAATAAAATTGTTTCAACATGGCGACATGGACTAATGAGGAAATATTTATTTATTTATTTAACAGTTTATGTACACACATAATTCGATAGGAAAATGGTAAAAACATAACTATGTACAAAAGCACTGCCTATTCCATGACGAAATTTCTTCCAGCAGGCCTATTGAAGGATAGTTGAAGGAAATAGAGGTAGTCAAAGTGTGCACTTAGGTACATAAATATACATATACAATACAAATATATACATATACATACATACACACACACACACATATATATACGCATGTATATATATAAATAAATATCATATATTATGAAAAATATATAATTTAATATAATACATTTTTAATGTTACTCATATGCATACCAACACATTACGATTTAATAATTATGGAGTGAAATATTGATTCATTGTTCATTGATTGATCGTCACAATGAATCAGTTATATGGAACCCCAAACATGAGCAACATAAAAATAAAACCAGAGTAACTTGCCTAACTGCATTAAATAATACATGTTTAGGTGCGATTTCAGAGTACCTACCTAATGATAAATATTATTATAAATTATCTCTGCGTTTATGTTGTTCATGGATAATGTAGCTTAGGGGCTTCTTTTGGGCTATCTTTTATTTTGAAAAAACCCCCAGCGAAGCGGGCACGGGTCAGCTAGTAGATCCTATAAAGGTTTCTTTTTTCCTTTTGAGGTCGGAACCCTAAAAAGGACAAACTGGGATTATTGTTGTATGTGTATTTTTTTTTTCGTTCACTCTGAGAAGAGTGAAGCGCTGTATAAGTATATGACAGCGGCCGCGATTGCCCTAACGTCCATCATCATCTAGCTACCAACGCAGAATGAAACACGCCAACGTGTGAACGGCACCACGAAAATCTGCCGAGCACGCACGCCAAGCGCGCTCGGCCAACGTGTACTGGAGCCATAAGACCACTTCTTACTAGTTTGTGCCTAAGACCAAAGAGAAGACCAACATAGTGTGCAAGGGAGAAGAAAATTCTTTATGGCAAAAATGCAAGATAGAAAAGGATACCAAATCTCATGACTCTGTAACCGATTTTGAATGACAGATCGGCGCAATGAGGGCTAATAATCTTCCACTTACCAGATGTCGCTAGTTCTGACTGAGGTAAAGTTTATTGTTACACAGTGTCACTTAATTGAGAAATTCGCTTTAAATAATAGTTTATCATTATCTAGAGTATTATATTTATACATAACACAATGCATCAGTAATTTAAATTTTTAATTTTTTGCACTTTATAATTCTTTTTAAAAAAAATCGCCTTTTACTTATATTTATAGTTTGGTTTAGTAATTTCTAATGTAAATAATATAAAATATAACTAGTAATACAGAAATAAACCTTAAAGATTACATTTTCTTAAGAAAATATCGTCCCCGCTATGAAACCTGTCAAATATTTTACCTCACTGTAAAGTGGCGCCGCCCTGGTGGCAGAAAAAGTCGTGGAAGTCATTCGGCCCGCAAGAAATAAGCGCCTAGATATTTTGTAAATTTTAGAGTGTAATAGTGGTTATATTTAGTATGTAACTTTTTTCAATAATCCTGACAATTGCACATTTCACAGGTAAATTCGTCAAAACGTCGTCAATGTTATGACGCGTTTATTTTTGGTTAAAATTTATGTTATAATCTGTTAAAAATATAGAATGTTTTCAATTATTTTGTTAATTTTAATATTTTGCAAAGAAAAAAGTCACGTTGTTGATAATTTGCATGAATTTGGTAAACAGATTTTTATACAATATATTTTACATGTACCTAGCGTAGGATTGATTCAACTATATCAATTTTAATGACAATATTTATCTTGAATATTTATATTGAATCGATAGACACAACAAGAAAATAAATCCTCGGTTTGCGTTCTATAAATGTAATTTTATTTTGCCGTTTGTGAAACAAATTCCCTCGAAATTGTATAATTAGAAAAAATGGTTAAGGTTAATTGGAATTCAAAGAAAAACTCAATAATTTGCAGCTAAACATTTACTTAAGAAGTATAAAAGAAAAAGTAGAATAAAAACAATTTTATTAAAAGAAGCCATTTCTACATTATTTGTACCAGTAAGTATAATATTGTTATAATAAGACTTCAAAAATTTTACTTTCAAAATTTTAGATAAAAATAGAGACAGATTTTTATACATTATAAAACTGTAGTACATTGAACATAAAAAATCTTGAAATTACCCTTTTTAAGCCATTATGAACCCAACTAAGTTGTAGAGGACTGCAGTGTAATCTATGAGATTTTACTGATTTTAACTATTTATTGTGTAGGGTGAACTATGCTAGGGACGTTGATGGAAGAAAAGATGGTACTCTTGACGATTATATATTGTGACTATTTACAAGCGGTGTTAATAAACTATGTACAAGAGGGAGTCTTCTATGGGGTCTTGCTTCTTGCCTTTTCTCTCTTGAGGTTTCTCTCATGAAGTGCTGCTGCCATGCGCCGCAATGCCGATAACGCCGAGTCTGTCTTGAGAGAGTAAACTAGCTCTACATGAACCGCGCACGTCGTTAAACATGTAAATAATGCTACCCACCGCTTTTCGTGCCGTTGTCCTATCGTAACTGACAAAGGCCCGAAATAATCGACTCCGGTGTACATAAACGGTCGCACAAACGCCCCTAACCGTTCGGGTGGTAGGTCTCCTATAACCGCTGGCCGTGGTGTTGCCTTGCGTACTCTACATCATAGACATCTCCGCTCCACTTCTCGTACGGTTGGTCGTAGTCGGAGGATATGATATCTGGTGCGTAAGTCGTTGACCACCCTCTCCCTGTTGGCGCGGCTTGCCTCTTGATGCGCCTTCTCTATAAGCAGCTTCATAAATTGGTGGCGTCTATTCAATATGACGGGTCGCTTCATCCGGTCGTCCACGTCGGCTGCGCCGATTCTTGCCCTGGCTCGTAGTATCCCGTCTTCAAGTATGGGGTCGAACTTCCTCAGAGCGCTACTGTTGGCCAGATTCTTCCCCTGCTGAAGTCGGCTGATGTCTTCAGCGAAGCTGTCGAGTTGACTGCGTTCCACCCACATCCGCTCTGCCCTCTGGATGTGCGGTAACGTTAACCCGTGTGCCCTTCCTCGTATCGCATCGACGAACTGCAGTACTCGTGCTGTGGCCCTGATCAATCTCTCGTAAGAAGTGAAGCGTTCTATTTCTGGCAGGTGTAGAGCGTCCTTGATGTCGCTTTGATGCGTCACGGTTTCCTCCAACTCTTCATCCTCCCCTGCCTTCTCTTCTTTCCAGTGAGGACATCTGTCTTCTTCTTCGTAGAGGAATGACGGTCCTGTGAACCATTGGTCGCTTTCTCCCTTGTTCACGAAGTTCATGCGCGTTGCCTGATCTGCTATGTTCTTTGCAGTCGGTATCCATCTCCATTATAAGTGATGTCTTCTCAGCTATCTCCCCTAATCCATGAGCTACATATGGAGTGTAACGCGCCGTATTGTTCTGTATCCAGTGGAGCGCCGTAGTAGAGCCTGTCCAATATATGACCCTATCTGCTCTCACTCTGTGTTCGTCTTGTATGAATTCCGCGACTCGCGCGCCTATCAAATTCACCTGCAACTCTAGTCGCGGTATACTTTGCGCCTTAATCGGGGCGACTTTCGCCCTAGCCGTTACGAAAGTAGGCCTATCCGTACCGTCGCGATGAGTATGTCCCCTATCATCGTGCGGTCGGTTCCCTATTACTCCGCGCGTGGAAGCGTAGCATCTCTGACAGTCGCAGTCGTGAAACCTCTTTGAGCGGACTGGCAAACGCCTGGATGTCCTTATTTGACCGTCCGCTGGTGCTCGACAGGTGTAAAACCGTTTCGCTGTCTTGCCTACACGTTCCTCGCGGCGCGGTACCCCTGATAACGTCCTAGCAGCTATGGGCTGCCTCCGGCGTCCTATCCTTAGATTACG